CATGCAAATACCCTTAATACACTGCTATGGAGGTTTCTAAGTCAGGAGACGCAACTCATAGCCATTCATACCTTGGTCATGATGGCAATATCTGTCATATTACATACAATATGACAAATGTCATATTTGTAAATGTCTAATGTATGAATATTATTTCCTACAGGGCCTGCACTTTTTCTGCTTTCACTCTCATAGCTTTCCCTCTTTTTCTGATATCCGTTATTTCACATGATCCATTCTGAGGGACACTATCCAGAAATGATCTTTACCGCATTTGGAACTCTCCTCCTTCTTGACTCCTTCACTGATTATCTCAGTCTTTTATATTTTTTATTTATTTATATTTCATATTTCTTAGCCTCCCCTCTCTTTTGTACAATAAAATCATCCATGGTTTTAGATTGAGATCAGCTAGACATATTCCTTAAGAAACAAATTTAAGTTTAAACTTCATTTTCAAAACAGACATATTCTCGTGCAGATAATTATCCAAAGACAACATTCTCACTGATTCTACGTCTCCAAGTATGTCAATCTCTTTGCTTTTTATAGTGTTAACTAACATATTGATTATGAAAACGTAGAAACTAATTATTACTGATTGTTTTTTAAACACATGAATCCAGACAACATGCTGTTTGCTAAATACTAAAGAAAAAAAATCTCTTTGCTTTTCCATTTCTACTCATCCATTTATGTCGTCAAGAAGTGTAATCTTGTCTCCCCCCCCTCCCCCCCAGATTCCATTCACTCAAAATGTTATACTCATCCCTGGTTCTTTCAATCTTACCCTTCACTGGAATGTAACATGTGCACTTATCAGCAATATATGAATTCCTACTTTTATACTACTTGACCAAACTAGGTAAAATAATTCACACCTTCTGACCTACATTTCAGCCCATTTCACTCATAATTTAATCCTCACTTATATATTCAAGCACTGAACTCCACTCACAAGAGTAGACCACTTCCATCTAAATCTTTTACATCATTTCCCCTACCTTTTAAATATTAAACATAAATGTGTGACTTTTGCTTCATTTCTCTGTTGATGCACCTTGCAATTTATTCTACCAACATTTTAAATTATAATTTTTCCTGTGTCGTGTTCATAAACAGATGCAGAATTCTCTCCTAATGGTAAGAATAGTGTTGGTCAATATTGGCACATTAGGGCTAGTATAGCACAGGACATTAGAACAGGGGTCTGTAACCTTGACAACTTTTAAGACGTGTGGACTTCAGCATAGCTGGCTAAGGAATTCTGGGAGCTAAAGTTCACAAGTCTTAAAGACCTATTCAGCTATGCTGTGATCAACAATCAACAATCCTGGAAATTAAAGTCCACGAGTCATAAAAGAGCCAAGGTTGCCTACCCCTGATCTAGACGCCACTCTGTAAGACAATTTATTTTTATCCAAATTTTACCAATTATAAGATGCATTGGAATATAGGTAACAGGATATATTTTCACATTTAAATGTTAATTTTTGGAAAACAGAACTCCAGGAAACTTCAAGACAGGGAAAAACAAACAAAAACATGTGTTTTCATACGCATATGAAGGGTTAGATCAGGGGCCTTCAAACTTGGCCCTTTTATGACTTGTGGTCTTCAACTCCCAGAATTCCTCAGCCAGCGTGCCTGAATGAGGAATTCTGGGAGTTGAAGTCCACAAGTCATAAAAGGGCCAAGTTTGAAGAACTGCTGGGTTAAATCTATCTTTGTGGTAGAAAAAGAATTCTGAACAGTATAAATAGGTGACTGAATTGATTTCTTAACTTTCCGTACAAAATCGCAACTTCATTTTTGAAATGCAATTTAAAATGCAAAAATAATGAGAAGTCACTTACTGCAGGAAAGTTTTAAATTCAGAAGGTTCCAAATATTCCAGATTTAAAGCTTCACAGTTGCTACAAGTATTTAAATGTCTTCCAATAACATGCAGAAAGAAATTTGGAACTCTTGCTAAAAGTACCGCCTTGTGAGCTTTGAAGAGCATATTGCCAACATAGAAAGTGATGTCGGTTTGATATTCTTCTTCAAAAAGTCTGCAATAAAATAAAAATAACTTCACAAATAAGACAAAGGGGTGTGTGTGTGCTTGTGGATTGCAACACATTGCTGCATCTGTCTTGCTGTGATTTACAGGGGCTTACAAATGACATAAAAGGAAAAATAGAAAGAATTAAAAAACACACAAAACCTCAAGCCCAATGACAACAAATTTCATAGCCATAGACACATTGTGGAAAACAGTCCTAGCAGCAACAATATAGCTGTAATCTACTCAAGGAAGGATCCTGCCCGACCATTAATCCCCAATGGTTTTTTGGAACATCTAGTCCTTGATGGCTTTCCTGAATACCAACAAGATTTGATGCGAACCTGACTTCTAATGGTCCACTTGTAGGAGAAAGGATGGCAAAATCTGGGGGCAGAGTGAAAAGGGGGCTCAGCCTAGAATCCCTACAGAGACACAAGCAAATTAAGTCCAACCCTCCTCGAGTGCTGTTCATCCTTATCTAACTCTAACCAGATGCTGACTATTAGTTGAGGGGATTCCTGTGTATAGGCTTTTAGCAATAAATCAACTTAACTGAACTCTCATGTATGGATCTGGTTTTTTGCAGTTGATAGCAGTATTCTAAAGGCAGACAGCTAACAGAAAAAGCACATCCTCATGGATCTTAAGGACAGCAAGGATGGAATTCAAATGGTTCATTCTCAAGTAGATCTTATTAGTCAAGGGAAAACTCTGAGAGATAGTCCCACAGATATCCAGATCCTGAGCTATATAGGGTTTTAAATATGACAACTGGCACCTTGAATTGCATCCAGAAGTCACTGGCAACCAGAGCAGTTCTTATGATGATGGCACTAGTCACACAAAACAGAAAGCACTCTTAACTACTCAACATGGTCTTCTAGGGTAGCCCTGGTAGAATGAGCTAACATCAACTGATGGAAGAGGTGACCAAGGGATGACTGAATAGGGTCTTCTGATTTAGGAATGGTCATGGCTTTGAGGAACCTCCATAGGAAGAAAAAAATTCTAGAGGATTTAATTGAATGTACTTGAATGGTCAAGTGAAGGTCTAAAAATAGTAATTTGGAAGGGGGTTCATGTCTCTAGAACATGGCGGCCTGGGTGGGGGGAAGCTTTCAGGAGGTGTTCAGTTCAGCCTAAGCCAATCTCATCTTCTTCACGCCTTTCAAGTGAGTTATTTTAGATTCTTTATTTTAGATTCTTAAAAGAAATGAAATGGAAAGCGAACAGGCTCCAAAGTCAAGCTCTAACGCATAATCTTTATTTCCAGATATGTTTCTGCCCATGCCCAGAAGCATTCTGAAAAAGTGAAAATGATGGAACAAAATGCCAGAGTTAGGGTAAAGTGATAAAAAGGCTGGTGGGGAGGTAATGCACCAGTCTGCTTATTGGGAAAGTAATATATTATGACTGGTCAGGCTCCTTTCTGGTTATTATCCCCAAATTCCAAACATGTCATAAGTACAAAAAAACCCCACCACCCCTCTTTGGATTTTTGCTCTCATTGTTCCGGAACTGTTAGAGAATAATAGCTTCTATATGAACCAAGCTGTGTATTCTGATGACAATCCAAATGCCTTTTCAGATAGATTGATGAACCAACTGTTCTTCTATATACTATCATATGCCAAATTTCATATAGAAAATCTGCTAGTTTTTCACTCATTAGGCTTTTAACATGGTCAACATTCATCAAATCCTATTGACAGCCATGAAGCTTTGCTGATGAGCTATTTGACTTCTATTGCTGCAGGCTTCACTTCTTAAGGCTGTAAGATGGAAGTGTACTGCTCAGTGTATTTCCAAAGGCCAGTTGCTGGGAAACACACAAAGGAAAGTACTATTAGCTTTTGGTTTGGGGGTTCCCCTGGGTGTCTTGTTTTTAGAGACAGAGACTACTGAGGAATTATCTCCCTTTTGCCTAATGTGGCTCCTGATGCTTTAGCAACAGTTGGTTGCCAAGCAGAGGTAACCTTTGCTTTTCTGTATGGTGGCAGTAGATCCATCTTATCTGAACAAATACTGTTTCAACTACGTAGCATTCTTTTCCTCACGTAGTCTTCAAAATATCACATTTTCTTCCCCAAATAGGGCAAGAGAAGAGAAAGTGAGCTTCTTCGACCAACCCTCCTGTGCTTATAAAAAAATTCAAAGAAAACCCCCGGGGTAGATGTCGTGTTTACTGACTGCACGTGGGAATGCATTTGACTCGGTGGGGGGGGGGCGTTCAACTCTGCGACTCCAAGCAAATCCAGGTTTTCACTTTGCTGCAGTGACAGGCCCACGGTAGGTTTCACAGACTTCCTTTTGTGAAAGGGTCATGTGCAAAACAGCTGGCTCCCCAGTGACAGCCCGGCTTTTTTTTTCTCTTTTTTTTTTTTTACCTTTCCATATCGCGTCTCAGTTGCTCCGCCACCAACTCCTTCAGCCTCCGCCTCTCCGCGGAACCCCTCTCGCCGCCTTTTCTTCCCGATTCTTCCCGGGGACCTCCAGAGCCCTTGGAGACCGAGTCCCCTCCACAACGCGCCATGGCATGAATTAAGAACCAGCCGGCGGTGGGGCGGCATAGGCTCTTTTGGCCTGGAGAGCGGATGAGTCACACCCGTGGCGGGGTTTACTCCCTACGCAGACGGCTCCAACGCCGGCCTTTGAAAGATGTGGGAACCTCCTTTTGCGCTTAATGCTTCCCTTTGTTTCCCTCTTCTAACAACCGCACCGCTTCGTGTTCCCGGCGATCGCGCTTTGCTCGAGCGCGGAATGGCTTGGAACTAGCAGCACTTTCATTAACGCCGGAAACTTGTTCGATCCGAGTCCTGCCGAAGACCATCCCGATTCTTCATTTTCATTGGGTAAAGCGGAGAGCCGTAGGCCAATCGCGGTGGGCCATCCTCAAAAGGAATAGCTAAATCCCCGCCTCCCGGTTGTTTATTATCCTTTGGAACAAGTGGCGGAGGCTGCTTCGGTGTACTGTAGACTGTAAGAGCACTTGACCGGAGACTCTGGGTAGTAAGAGCTGAAATTCAGATTTTGATGGTGGAGCAGAATGGGTCTATATATAAAAGGAACTGGACAGGGAAACAAAATGAAGGCGGAAAAGCACTCCTTTTATCCCCCCCTTTTTATTATTGTAAATCGCCTAGACTAGCTCCATGCCCAGATAGGCAGCAAATAAATTTAACAAAATAAATTTTGTATGAAGCTGTGGAGAGAGACAGAGATGATAAATGATGGTCCTCGGTGATCTCTGAGCTTGGTTGTTTTCTTGCAGGCATTTCATTACCCAAACTAGGTTAACATCTTCAGTGCTGATAGCGTAATCATCTATTTGTAGAGATAATAATGGATGAACCCGGCCATGGGATAAAAATTATGAGAATGGTTACATAATGATAAGGTTACATAATGCATTAGTCCCATAATCGTTCAAAAGGATTTTTGTCCATTGTCTAGCTTGGAAGGCATTACAGATCAACTATACACCAAAAAAACATGGCAAGGCTCATGAAAAGCAAACCACAGACACATAAACACTAATTTGAATGCCTTTAATCCTGTATTTACAAGATTTGATGACTGAGCTTGTCTCTCTATGATCTTGTTTCTAAGAGGTGGATTGAGGAAGGATGGGAAAAGCTTTTAGTTATTAATTCAACTGTAAAGTTTCAACTTGAGATGTCACAACATGAAAAACATTCCTGCTTCACTTTAGCGAAGAAGTCCTGAACTTCCAATGTTGATGAATGTGTCCTTAGCTATCTTAAAACTGACCTATATGATTGCCTGGCTACTCTTTCCATTAGGTTCCAAATAAGCTTTTAATATTTTGAGAAAACAACACTGCAAAATTTGTTCTAGATATATACTATTAGAATTTAAATGTCTCTGACTCTTTCATTATGTACTAAGTTTGCAGACTGGTCATACCAATGTGTAGATACAAGTAAAAGTCATCATACCATTTCCCAGAAAACACTTTTGACTTTTTAACATTAATTGATTACCTCAGGAAATCTTTATATTCATTTTTAAAAATAAAAGACAAAAATGGTAACAATAAATTAGATAAGTTAGTTATTGTGGTAGTGACCATTCAGATAAACCTAGTAATTGTTAATGGATTGGTAATGTCTACCTCTTCTGTTATATATACAGAAATCTCAAAATTAAAGACACAGGACACAGTGCCAGTTGCAGTTTATTAGAACGAGAATAGAATATACAAGTCATGATTGTGGTTCTTCATTTTCTATTTTAGTTTTTAAAATACCGTGTGCACACATCTTAATTTTTTTTAAATTTATACCACTGCACAAGAAGCAATCATTTTTATGGTTATATCTGATTGATTTCTGGTGTGCCCAAACATTTTTAGACTTCTAAAATTATATATACTGTAGATCAAAAGATCTATTAACATTTTAAATGATAAAAATATAGTTTAAAAAATTCCAACCAGTAGAATGAAAATTGAACATTTTACCAATAATTATTTCTTTTACAACTGATACCCCTGCACTGAGATAATTATAAATTCATAAAAGGCACCACACATCTTAAAGCAAGTAACCAAAACTAAGCAACTTTCTACGAGTTCCTTACTGTACAAGCACAAACATTTTAAGGCAAGTGTTCCATGTGCAAAATACACAATACAGGTAAAACCAACATTAATGTTACATAGTCTTACACCACCCTGGTAAGAATATTGGCATCAATATATACAGTACATTGAAAATATCTTCTCTAGCATAGTTTAATCTAATATTATGCTGTTAACGTGGCCCTGCTTACATTGAACTTTGATCTTTTAGCATTTCAATTGTCCTGTCAAAAGAGTCACTCTCTTTTTCTTGACTCTTCTTTTAGAAAAGTCCATATCAACTTGTTCACAATGTCAGGCTGATCTTCTTGGAGCCAATGGCTGGCTTCAGACAGAACAGTAAGTCGAAACTGTTTTTTTACATAAATCCTTGTGATTTCCGCCATCTCAACCTCCATAAAAGGATCTTTTTCTCCCCATACCAATAGAGTAGGCATGGTGATTTCATGATGCTGCAGTGGCAGACAACTTTAAAAAGAAAAATATTTTTTTAAAAAATTAGGGAAAAAGTTCAGTTTAGTTATAAATCACAAGTTTATATTTGTAACTAAAATGGATGCAGACATTGCACTTGCATTCTCATTGTACTATAAATCAAACAAGTCCCTCTCCAGGGACACCAAATAATGCACATGATAGATTTGGTTCAGACCTTTGCATTTTAGAATTAGTGACTGATCTGAAAATTTTATTTTTACTTTTAGCATTAAGTATTTTGACCCTTAGCAGTATATGAAATCAGTAACATTAAGAACATTCCATTAAGCTGTATGGAATTTATATATCAGAACACATGCACAACTAACGTTTAATGCCTTATTGCAAAAATGCAGCAGCTTTTAATATACAGGTAGTCTTCATTTAGGGCTTGCCTTGTACATTGACTATCTGCAGTGTTTTCAGAGGTGAGGAAGCAGTTTTATGATCAAGCAATTTTATGACCTTTGCAGATACATAAAGGAAAGGAAAATGAAGTAAGATCATAAGCACAATCATGGTTTCATTTAGCAACTGCTTTGTTTACTGAGTTGCCAGTCCCAGTTGTGGTCACTAAAAAAGGACTTTCTTAATGCACAATGTTAATGTTATGATATATAAGTATATAAATAACTGATTGCTCAGAACTGACAACAGAATGGACTCTCACACTTAGTTCAGAATTGTGAACCCTCATGCATTGACTTGGCTGCTGTAAGACAGCATGCTGCATTTAAAGCCCATAGCACATGATTATGGGTCTTACTTACATTATTCTGTGTCATCAAATTCCAGTAAGTCTTGAAAGTAACAGTGTATTTATGAAAAATAAGATGGATTTATTAGCTTGATGCAGTAAGAGGAACTGACCTGAAAAGATTTCGATAGTGATTAATGGGACCAGTTAGTGCTCCTGGTTGGGAAAATACATAAAGATAAGCTTCAATGTCTTCTGCTGTTAACCCACAGCTTTTCTTTCCAATTCTACTGGAGTGGCTGGTAAGGATGTTTTTCAACACCTGTTATTAATATATAAGCAAATAAATAGAAGATTTTAAAAGCTGCCCCAAATTATTAAGGGTTGAGTGTAATGCAATCCAAGTGTAACCCCATAAGGGAAAGACATTGGCAGGTTCAGCACTTTCAAAATTTGCAGAAATATATTGATTTTGAAAAAAAAAACCATAGCAGCTGATTTCAACCCAAACCCTTAAAATTGCACTTGTGCTGCCCACAGGAATCTTCTGTATTGACTGTTGTGGAATCTATGGCAGTTCAGGAGCACTCTCTCCAACTAGCCAAAGAGGGGATGTCAATATGGTTTGCCCTCTTAATCCTAATCTCATTGCCATTTGTTTCGTTGTGAAGAAAAAACATTGTGTGGAAAAAGGGCAAAATAATCTCTCAGATCCACCAGGGAGGAGGGATGGAGAAGGAATCAGGACAAAGCAAGTATTCCTGCCAGCGGGAAACCAACTGCAGATCCAGAGGAAGTTGTCAAGATTTTCTCAATCAGTACTAGAATTAGAAGCTTCATTGATAGTTACTAATGTTTCACATTAAAGCTACTGTAAATACAGATAGTTTTGGGGTGAGGACCACTCGTTTGGAGACTGATGAAAGTTACGATGGCACTGAACAAGGGGGATTTAAGAATAGTTTTTGAAGTTCTGGCTGTCACAGCATTCCACTGTCACGTTCATGAACTGGATCCTCAGTGCCTGGCTTACAATTACTATGTCACAGTGGGCTGCAGTCATATAATCATGATTTCCATTGTTCCCAGCTGGCTTCCCACAACAAAGTCAATGAAGAAGTCAGAAACTGTTGATATTTTGCCTGTGTACGTGCCGGCGCACCTGCTTACAGCACCTCTCTGCTCCTTCAAGTGAAGACTCACGTAGAACAGGCTATAGTAATCCAGAGAACAGAGTATGGGCTTCTGAGTTACTTACTTAGTCAGACTTACTCTCAAATAAAAGAACAGTAAACCTGGCTTTGTGCATATGAAGTAAACGTATACCCACATGGCACAAAAAGAATGTTTCATGTATGTATTTTAACTCCAAAATTTTAATGAATGTTAAAAGCATACCTTTCATATCTGCACATTTTTCCTTCAATAGTGCATGGAACCCATTCTTTAAACATACCCACCTTAAAATCATTTATTGAAAATATAAGTTCTGGAAGCCATGGCATTTGGAAGAAATAGTAGTTGGCGGATTTAATCATCTGTGATGGACGCTGCACAATGTATTCTTAAAAAGAAAACCATGAGTTAAAATGAAAAACGATAGTCTTTGTATTATGGTCAGTTATACTAATCTTTTGAAACAAGGAATTAACGGTGAGTAGCTCAATTCTGTGCAAATTTACCAAGATACAAATCCAATTATATTCAGTGCATTTTATTATTACTATAATCAAGATTGCAACCCCAATTCATATGTCAAATACCTTTCTTCCTAGAGAAGCAGAAACAGCTGAAATATCATTTAGCACAATGAGACCCTGTTTAGGCTTTTTAAAAGGAACTGATAATGAAGGTAAAGGTGATGAAGAAATAGGAAGAATCCAAAAAAGGGTTGCGACAGAAATATAAATTCTTAATCTGGATTATGTCCTGTTTAATTATTCTCAACTGCTACCCAAATACCTCTTCACAGGGAAGCACTGGGATTTTTTTTTTTCTGGATCATTTTTCCCTACATCCCCAAGTAGTATATGAACCATTTTTGCATTCAATATTTCTTTTGTGCATTATACCAAACTTGGTCCTGTTCTATTTAGTTTTCACAGTTATCCTGCTGATGGATAGATAGACAGAGTCCCAAGTGCCTTTCCATAATTTGTTTTCAACGTTATGCCAAGTTGGAAGAAATAATAAGAGATTGAAATTAAATCTGGGAAAAAATTGCTATTCGAGAGATAGGGAGATGTGTTACATGCCACACCCCTCCGAAACTCACTTCCATAGCAGTGTTCTATATTTGTAAGAATTGAAAAAAAAAATAGCTCATAGGTCAACAATTTAAACCAGATGTCTCCAGGAGACCCTTTCAGATACATGAGCTTCAACACAAGAATTTTCCAGTCAGCGTCACCATTACTAAGAATTCTGGAGCTGAAGACTATTGAAAGGCATCAAGGTTAGGAAATAGATTGTAACATCAAACTGAAAGAAGCAGCAGAAAAAGTCAAAACAATGAAGCCATGTAGCTAGTTAGATTTTTATCCTGCATTTTATCTCTTGTTTATCTACCTACGAATATTTTTATATTAGACATACTTCCACATTTATTTACTTTCAATATTACTGCTTCCTTTTTTCCCTAGATTAGAAGAACAACTATGAGATCTGGGAGAACCCAAATTTGATGATAAGATTCACAGGTCTTAAAACAATTTTCCCTGATCTGGTGCTTCCCAGATGTGTTTAGATGATAGTTCCCCGAATTCCCCATCAGTATTCTAGTGAGTACAGTCTTGGCATATCTGGAAGGAAGGACATCTTTCAGTACATTTATACTCACACATTCCCCCCAGCATATAGTCAAATATTTATACATTCATATAAATACAGAATACACAGCTACTAATCAGTCAAACATAACCTGGAGAAACTAAAGTACTCTACATTTCTGTATTTTTTTCCAGGCAAACAGGGTTTTTGTCAGTTTTTCAGCACATTCAAGAAATTATGGGATAAAGCAATGTGTATAAGTTCTGTATAGTTCATTCCTGTTTATTTTGCTTCAGTTGCTGAACTAAACAATTTCCTATTTATGACTGTTGTAACCAGGCAGATGCAACTTCAAATTATCTTATAACTTTGCTCTAGTGACTTTGGCCTAATAATTCTTTCAGCTCTCCAATTGAAGAAAATTGAGAACATATATAAATGATAATGATGGCCAAATACAAGCTGCTGTTTTTTAGAAATATTTGCACTGCATGTCTTAATGATGCAGCTTTTTTTTTTAAACTCACCTGTGAAAACGGAGGGATGTGGAAAATTCACAACAATAAGCTTTGTCACCATTTCTGGATAACAAATAGCAACTAGCCAAGCAATCATTCCACCCCAGTCGTGACCAATCAGCACACACTTGCTGTATCCTGTTGTTTAAAAATAGATTTTTGACAGATGTTTATCAACAGTTACACCCAAATAAATTAACACATCAAAGGAAATGACAGTGGATTTTGCAGTTTACTTGCAAACAATATCTCACATTTTTCCCTATTGGCAAATGATTTACACCACCAGACTTAGGTGATCTATTAATAAACTTTTCAAGAATCATAGCTAACAACCTAGCAAGAATAAGGTGGGAAATTTCAGTATGTTTTCTAATGTGCCTGAAATTTTGACTTTCATCCTTTGTAACTAGAGAATATTTATAATTCTATTTTACCAGCTGGTTTTAAAAATGGTTTGCAAAAAATTAAGTAGAAATGAATGAATTAATACTGATTAGCTACAAAACTTTACTCATATAATATCAGGTTTAATACACTGATTTATGATGATCTAATTCAATCAGGATCATGATTAGATGATTCAGTCAGAAAAAGTTTGAGATGATCCTTTGAATATTGCTTAAACAATACAAATCCAGTGTCATTTTGGAGCACGGTATATTGTTTGGACAATTATATTTTTTCTAAATTTATAGGAATGATATTAATTCAAGAAATAGTACATAACTCTTTCAAGCTGCAGTAGCAGCACATTAAGAATATATATGCCACCATTCCTTTCTAGTCTGCCTCTAACTCTCGTCTTAAATTCTTTCAGTCTTCCATGTGATTAAAGAAAGAAAAAAAATGCCCTTATTTGATTAAATCTAAGTTTTCCATTTATTTTATGGGACTGTAGGTATAGATGTGGTGTGTTTGTGGTGAGATTTAACTGTATCTTTTTAAAACCAATATATTTTAGTAATTTATTAATAACCTTTATTAAAAAAAATCTTCAAAATTATCTCCCAAGATTTCAGAACTGCTGACTTAAGTTAAGGATATCAGGAATTATTTAGGCATGAAATATTGTATGTGCCTCAAACTATACTTATTTCAATAAAATGTTATGTGTATATCAGAACATTCTATGTGCTTTTTGCTGATGGGCTGTGGATGTTGGCTTCATAGATGGTCTTTAAATTAAGATTACTCACTTGAATAAAATAGCATGAACATACAGTACTTGGTAAAACTGGAGTTTGGTTGGACCTGGCCAAAATGTGTCAAACTAACTACTACTTATCTTAAAATTAAGAGGAAATTTTAAATGTGCATAGGTACAGTTAAGCTAATCTATACCTTACCTATCTTATTAAAATATATTATGGGGAAATTTCAACTGACCAAAGTAGGTGATGGGCAGCAGAGATCCCTAAGCTTCAAATAAACAATAGAGCCTGGGCAAATCCTATCAGTAACATTATCAATGAAGCACTGTAGAACAGACATGGCAAACTTGCAACGTCATGTGACCTCGCGAGACGTATCGGGACAGTTTTGCCATTGCCGGCAATGGTGTGGGCACGGCTTCTAGATGATGTATCCCGCCCGCGGGCTGGCAGTTTTGACACCCCTGCTGTAGAACATGTATATGACAAGATATATAGGAGAAGAAGAATTAAAAACACTACTTTAAATCCAGGACGGCTATATGTCAATTTAAGTTGGTAGGCAAGGAATAAATCAAAGGTGACCATACAAATCTGACTTTTTTTTTTAAAAAAAAGAGCAGACCATCTCCTTGCCATGGTTAATAGTACATAAGGATAACCTTATAGTTTTATCCTTTGTTGGTTTCCTTATATTTTCTTTTATCTCCTGCTCTCATAACATTAACTTCTTATTCTTTTTCTGTATTTTTTCTAATATGGCTTATCCTCAAAGAAAATAACATAGTGGATATGCATTTGTGCATCAACTGAACATTTATCTTAATTACAGAGACTGGAAAAATGTTCTAGTTTACATTGTTTCTGGGTGAGAAGAACTGTTGTTTACATTGTTTCTGGGTGAGAAGAACTGTTGTCGGTGGTTTGATAGTATATAAAAATAATTATATCACACACTAAATTTATTAAGTCTGAAAGTGCTCAATGAGAACGTTGTCCTAAAGTATGAGCTTGCATTAAATGAGATTCTGATCATAAATAAACCTAATTACTATGTTACAAGTATTTTTCCTAATCTGCATTCCAATTAGCAAACATATTCAAAACATTTTTCTTTTGTTTTTAGCTAACAAGAGATTAATTTGTATGGATCTAACGTTTTGTGGGAGAAAAAGGCTTCATCCTTTGGGGAGGAAACCAGAATTCAGTAGAACTTCCTTATGATGGGAAGAGGTGATATTTGGCTTTTCCCCTCAGCTCAAAATGCTAGAGCCCATTTTTCAAGAAGAGAGCAAATTGAAGAAAAATAAAATTGTCTATCCCTTCAGTCTACATCACAATTATCCAATTCACAGCATGACTGGTTTAAGCTCTGGAGCTTCATTGTCCAGAAAGACCATTCCACACCTATTTTAAGCATTGGCACGTCAGCTCTAGATATACAAAATCAATTAAGTAACTAAAAATCCCAAAGATTTTTTAAAAAGAAACAACAAATTGTAGGAATTAAATTTACAGCAAGAGAAGAATATATGCTCTCTCTCTCTCCCCCCCCCCTCTCTATATATGTATAATTTAAAACACCAAGCTTTCGCCGGCAACTGCCGGCATCGTCAGGGTGGTTTCCAGTCGATGGGAGAGGCTATTTATGGCTGTGGCGTTCTTTGCGCCCGGCTCATGGATCTCGTCACAGGCCCCAGCCAATCCATCTGCACTTTGATCCTAGTTTCCGTGTTACTGATCGTTGTTTTCTTGCTTTCCTTTGTACTAACATTCTCATCCTTTTTCTCCTCATGTGGTCGTGGCTTGGGGGAGCTTGCATGTTTTCGTTGTTTGTTTTCCTTACCCTCCTTCCTGTTACTCCCCCTCCTCATTCTCCTCCCACCTTCCCTCTTTCCATAGTCTTTATTTGCAATTATTACCTCATTGCTTTCTCCTACATAACCAGCTTCCATTGTAGTTGTCTTATCGTGACTCCCATTCTCTGATGTTACTTCACTAACTTTCATTTTCTTGTCAATGGGGGCATTTCCAACGATATCGTCAGGGTTTGTAACATTCTTAGCCTGGCTGTTACTCCCCCCTTCGCACAAAATCCTCGGTATGGGGGTCATCCCCTCTCCGTGGCTCATACTCCTCTCCATTCCCTGAGGGTGAGCGATCGTCTTCAGGGGAAGGGAAGGGGGCGGGTTTTTCAGTTCCCGGTTTCTCACTCCCTGCCTATTTCCAGGAGGAATCCCCCTTCTGAGATGTTTCCTGGGGCATGCGGGAGCTGCAGCGTTGGGAGCGATCTCCTCTTCACCCTCCCATGGTTCACTCGCATTATCGAGGTGAGACCACGTTGTTAAGATGCCATCATGGATGGGGTTAATCACGGAGCCGCTGGCGGGGTGGGGGTGATGTTACAGCCCTTCCATTCACGATTATCTCCCGTCCGGGTGCTGGTACGGGACCGCGTCATTACACAATTATTCATACAGCATGGGGAGACCTCAGATTCACCGGCAGTAGGCTCACAGCTGTTAATATGTTTTTCCACTTGTTGGGAGTCAGCACATGCCTCCGCACTCGGAGAGTTGCTCAATAGTAAGCTGTTCTCTATCCGGGCGTTTCCAGGGCTCTTTCTCTCCACCAACCCTCCTCCCAGAAGGCACGTTGTAGTATTAGACTGTTTCTTTCCGGGAGACTGGCTGTTTCTGGCCCATGCTCTTAACGCTATGTGTGCAGGACATAAGTCTATATGTCGGTTGATGGACTCATTGTTTGAAAGCCAAGCTTCCTTAAGGAGTCGGCCCCCTTTCGTGTTATCATTAGCCATTACCTGGACATTATCGAAGTCAAACCTATGTCCTGACTCTAGTATGCGTGCCTCGATATGGGAGTATTGATCGCCTCTCCTCACAACCAACTTGTGCTCGTGAATCCTAATTCTAACGCGTTTGGATGTCTCTCCCACATAATTCGTGGGGCAATCTTTACAGTTGATTTTATAAATGACGCCAGCCCTCTCTGTGGTGGGAAGTGGGTCCTTTGGTCTCATTACCTTGGATTGTAACGTCTGATTTGGGTTATGTGCCACCCTCACGTTGTAGGGTGCCAATAACCTAGCTGTGGCCTCCGAGACATTACTAATATAAGGAAGAGTAACCCGGGTAATTTGTGGTGTTGGCTCTTCCATTTGAAACCTAGCAGGGGGTCTAAGTGGCAGGCTATGGCGTCTGATGAATTTCATGGGATATCTGTCTGCACACCTTGAGAAGATGTTTCCTCTCCTCTATCCTAGCCTTAGCTGTGCTGCAGTGGGAATCCACCCTCTTAAAGAGGGTCTTAATGCAGCTGACCTTGTGGGACACCGGATGGTTACTGTCATAATGCAGGATTCTGTCAGTGTGCATGGGTTTGCGATAAACTTGGGTCCTCAGGGTTCCGTCTGGTTGACGGTGAACCAGAACATCAAGAAATGTTAGTTTACCCTGGTGTTCGTCTTCCTCCGTAAGTTGTCACGATAAGACAACTACAATGGAAGCTGGTTATGTAGGAGAAAGCAATGAGGTGATAATTGCGAATAAAGACTATGGAAAGAGGGAAGGTGGGAGGAGAATGAGGAGGGGGAGTAACAGGAAGGAGGATAAGGAAAACAAACAACAAAAACGTGCAAGCTCCCCCAACCCACGACCACATGAGAAAAATGATGAGAATGTTGGTACAAAGGAAAGCAAGAAAACAACGATCAGTAACACGGAAACTAGGATCAAAGTGCAGACGGATTGGCTGGGGCCCGTGACGAGATCCATGAGCCGGGCGCAAAGAACGCCACAGCCATAAATAGCCTCTCCCATCAACTGGAAACCACCCTGATGATGCCGGCAGTTGCCGGTGAAAGCTTGGTGTTTTAAATTTATTAAAACTTTTTATAGCTTTATAATTTCCTGGTGTTCTTGCATTTATTGCTAGCTAAACATGAGTTTACTCAGGAATCACCTTTTTATTTTTAATATTCTTAAGAACATATATATATATATGCACATCAACAATCACCTCAAAAAGGGCTTTGTTAAAGGAAATATATTATCATCTAGCTACTCCCTTTTCCAGGATTATTATAAATTGGGCAGCAGGGCTGCAATTCACACACCAAGAGACTCCAAGATATCCTTTATATCTGTAATCAGACAATCTAGCTTGTAATTCTCTCGGTGGGAGGGAGCATCTGTTTCTCCATAACCTCTCAAATCCAAGGCCACAACTCGATATTCACTCTTAAATTCACGCATTTGATGTCGCCAAGAGTACCTAGCAAAGAAGGAGGAGAAGAAGAAAGTTTTGCTTCATACTTTTAATGTTTATAAGCCATTCTGACCTTCTTTGCAAAAGGTGTTTATATGGGAAGGACAAAATGGAATCATAAAACCAAAGACAGTAAGAATATTTGCGCTAGTTAATAAAATGTTAAAAATATAAAACTCCTGTGAAATCAGAACAGAATCAAACTGTAAAGACCTGCATTACAGGTAGTCCTTGACTTACAACCACAATGGTTTCTGTTGCTAAGTGAGAACTTTGCCCCATTTTACGACCTTTCTTGCCATACCTGTTAAGTGAATCGCTTGTTAAGTGAATCGCTGTAGTTGTTAAGTTAGTGACACAGTTGTTAAGTGAATCTGGCTTCCTCACTGACTTTACTTGTCAGAAGGTCGCAAAAGGGGATCACTTGACCCCCCCCCCCGGGACCCTTCAACTGTCAGAAATATGAGTCAGTTGTCAAGCATCTACATGAAATCCTGGGGGATGCTACAACGGTCGTGTGAAAAATGGTCATGTCACTTTTTTCAGTACTGTTGATACTTTGAATGGTCACTAAATGAACTGCTGTAAGTCCAGGAATACCTGTACTTGATGCTTTCTTGTAATGATTGTCATTATCAATGTTTAGCTGAATGTGATGGAATCATAGTTCATTTCGTACAGAAACCAAACCATTGTTTTAAAACTATGTCTTGTTGAATAAATCACAACCTGATTATACACAACATGAATCTATTCAACTAATATCTACACACCTCTCTCTAGCTTGCAATGCATAGATATTTTTAATTGGAACATCAGAGAGACGCAACCTGAAACCAATCTGACAACAACAACAAAAAAGAGGACGTTTAAGTTGATCAAAGGAGCTTTGGATATTTTAGCAGGCTTGGTTGATTTAGCACTAGCTGCAGATGTGTTTCTAATATATTCCCTGGATACAAAATAAATTTTGCAATGAGACAGTATTTTATCATTCCAATGAACATTATTTTATTCCTTGCAATACTGCCATTGAAGACTCAGGCACAATAGTTCCATTTCCAATCACTTTCATTGAATCTTATACAGTCAGGTATAATTAAGAGAGATCTATATAGTTAGGATTGTAATTCCTTTTGAAGGAGATTCTTTCTGGACTAATAGTTCCCTTTCTCCAAACTACTCTCATGATCTCTCTGAAAATAAATATAGCCATAAAGATGGCTAAGTGCTGAGGTAAGTGCAGGGCTTTCAGTAGCCCTGGGGATCTTGAAAAAGCAACAGCAATAAGATGCAAAGATAGCTGTTTTCTTTATCTTTCTTCCTTTCAAAAACCAACAACAATGCACACAAAGGAAATATCTGGGCCAGAAATATTAGGTCTCAAGAGCATTTTGTTGGAAAAGAATTATTTTTCAGAGGGAAAACAAAAGTAACATGTTCATATACTGTAACCAATGGAACATATCCAATGTGAAACTAATTAACTTCAGCGCAAACTTTCCAAGATTTTATTAATACTTACTTAACATTATTCAGTTGATTTCAGCCGTCCCTTTCCAATGAAAGACAATTTTGATTGAATGTTATGGAAAAATGTCCTAGTGGTCAAAGTGAAATCAATCACCCAGAAAAGGACTTTTTACTGTGTGGGTTCAGCTGAAGACTAATTTGATTGTTGGACTGAATCTAAATGCCACAATATACTGTGCCCTTCTGATTTTATGAAGATCAAAACTGTTAGAGCATTTTTACCACTTGTACAGTATACTTGGGAAAAACTATCTCAAAATGATACAGAGAAATGAATTGCATAAACAAAAGGATATGCATTGTGTAATTATTTATTTACAATATTTATTAACTATTAATGAATAGTGCTATTCAAGTTTAGCAGGACAATCAAAATTGAACGGGCTATAGGAATAGCATCAATAAAAAAGGTTGGGCTTTATATATCAAGGATATAAGGAATACAGAAATCATTATCTCTCACAACTGCTAACTTTTCTGTATATAATAAAGATAGAGATAGTGCTAAATAGCATGTGTTTCTCTGTAGATACTTAATATATAGTATTTTGAGCAAATCTCTTTGTAACAGGGTAAATATTCTTATCTATGTCATTGATTTATCCCAATCTCTTAACTGGGCAAGATGTGGGGTGTGAGGCCATCAGACATATTTTATACACCATCATTCAATGGCTAAAGAAATCCCAAGCCCACAAGTGGAAAATGTGACTACATTGCTGAATTTGGAGATTTCTAGAATGTTCCCAAAAAAAGTAGATCCATTCTGAAGATGTGACTGGAATCTGATACTGTTCTTTGTGTGGCGATAGGCTCGCATTCTAGCAAATCTTGGCATACTTAAAGGAACACAGATAATATACAGTATGGTCCAAGGTGTCGTTTTCTTGGTTACCATGGTGAATAGAACAATATTCTAGAAATATATTTTAGAAATGCCTTTGTTTTCTCAAGGAGAAATTGTTTCATGAATATCCAAGGGTACTATTTCTGGAAATCAACTCATCCCCAATATTGGCATCTTGTACATCAGCATATTATTATCATCATCAGTATAGTTTTAGTGCAGAATCCTGATATACAGGATACACATTTATACTGAAGTCATGTTTTTCCCAGTGACATGACCACTGCTGGGAATACAAATACCATAAAGTAAAGCTACTTAAGTCTCAGCCTGGATGAAAATGTGAACGGCATCAGAAAATGATGTTTTCCCCTATAGGCACAGTAAGGTCTGAGCAACAGTCTTTGTAGCAACTGAGAAGAAACTGAGCCAAGAGCTTTCTCTCAGCCTGCCTTTATTCTTTGATTTGTTTATGCATCTAAAATGGTCCCATGCTGGTTTTTGTCTCATCAAAAATTCATATACTAATGCAAATATAAGTATAAAGCAGTAGAGCAATATTTAAATATAAGTGCCAAGAGATTTTCTTCAGGAAAAATATTCCATAATGAAGGTACCCTAGTGGAATACACACACCACCACCACCACCACCACCACCACCACTTTCTTTGGGACTGAATAACACACTTCTAACTCAGGGCCCTGCTGGATGATCCTAATGCAAGAACTCCATTAGTACTGCTCCAATAAGATTTTTCCAGGAGAACTGTGCATATTCTCCAAAAGAGGAATCAGAACACACAGGAAGAACTTTTTCCAGTTTTGTGTAGCTACCTTGGAAACAGCTTTCGATTGTTCCTGTGGTAGCTACGGGGTTTTTTCCCACAATGAAATGAAGTCTGGACACAGCGAGAAGCACTGTTCAAAGGAACATGTGAGCTTGGAAAAAAACACTATGGCTTTAAAGATTCAGAATTAGTTGCTTCCTACAGGCTCGCACATATTCTGAAGCACCCATTTTTGAAGGATTTGCACAACCCTACAACTCCTATGCATTATGGATGAACTGAGTACAGGATTAAATGTATTGCTCTCATTGTATGAACATTATAGGATACTTATAAGCAACAGTAAGCAGCTAATTTTTATCTTCACATCTTCTGCACATTTACTGATTATTAAACTTGCTCTAAATTTTGCCTTAGGACATTAGCTTTTAAATCTGTTACATACACAGGTTGCTGTTGCAAAACTAATTTAATTTTAGATTACTTCATCTAAAAATGAAGAATTTCTTCCAGGGTTATACTCCTATTAAGAGGTAATTATTTCATCTTGTAATTTCAGAATGGAATCTTCTAAACAAAATGTAATAACTGCACAAATACTATGTTTTTAGCAGGAGCATTTTATGCTGTGATTTCCCTATAATTACTGTATGTCCTCTTAACTTTCTAAATTATTTTAATTTTGTCAGTACGATGTGCTGAAGCAACATAATAGTGCTATTTATATTAATGTGTGACCAAAAGCATTCCATGCCATTAAATTGGTTAGATAAACAGCAGTGAGGTGGGTGGGTGTTGTTTTCCAGTCACTCAATGGAGCAGGATCCTCAGTTGAAAACAGGATTGTTGATCCAGTACATAAAAGTAGAAATGCAAGTCATATCAATTAGAGTAAGAAAGCAAGCAAGCAGAGAATTTACCAGAACTCTGGAAAGCCATGAAGAAGCAGCATAAGAGGTTTACCCCTCTCTCCGGCAGCTACATAGTGGAATCTCAGCCCAGAATCCTGAAAAGGGAAGGGAAGATAGATTGCATTTTTATATTTTTATATATATACTTAGGAGGGGTGAAGCCTCAGCGGTTAAAAGATGATGAGCTGGTCGGCTGGAAAGCTGACTGTCCAGGTTTGAGACATAGGTGCCACATGACGGGGTGAGTTCCCGTTCCTGTCTCAGCTCCTGCCCATCTAGCAGTTTGAAAGCATACAAATGCGAGTAGATTAATAAATATCCCTTCAGTGGAAAGATAAAAAGAGTTCCATGCGCCTTACGTGTATAGCAGGGATCTTCAAACTTGGCCCTTTTATGACTTTTGGATTTCAACTCCCAGAATTCCACAGCCAGCATGCCTGGCTGAGGAATTCTGGGAGTTGAAGTCCACAAGTCATAAAAGAGCCAAGTTTGAAGACCCCTGGCGTATAGCCATGCTGGCCACATGATCATGGAAAATGTCTTCGGACGATGCTGGCTCCTTTGGTCAAGAAAAGGAAACGAGTACCATGCCCTAGAGTCAGACACAACTGGACAGGGAAACCTTTATCTTTACCTTTTATCTAATATTTATATGTTTATATTTATAGAGAAAAAGAACAATAACAAAACTAGATTGGAAGCATTAGTAGTCAAGTAGCATGCAAATGGATCAAGACTTTCCTGTATTATTAAGATTTTAAATGTAGTTTGTTCTCCTGGATCTCAGTCTGTGTCTGCCATTTGTCTGTGTCTGTGTATAATCTGAGCTGCAGTGTCTAGTATTGGTTTATTGTTATTCTAAGCAGTTCAATGGTCCCTTTTCATCTAAATTATAGCTCATACAGATGTAAATACATATAAATATTGTAATGCAAAGGACATCACAGTGACACAACAGATTTACTGTATTTGTGAGAATATTTCTCCCTACTGCATCTAAGGTAGACACTCCACAATTACTAATTTAATGAGCACAAGTGCTGCTCCCACAAATAAGCTCTCGTAGAAATTTATCAAAGTACCTCCAGAAAATAAACGAGTAGAGGATCAGAAGCCCATTTCAGGGTTGACTGCTTTATTGTGACTTTGCACCAATGAAATAACCAGATTAGAGGGGAACTGGCTTAAAAGGGAAATGGCAGATTGCAAAAGCACTGTGTGAAAAAGAGAGCTAATGGGTACCAGTGACAATATTTTGCAAACACTGCCCTCTAGCATTCTGTAACAAGGACTCTGCAAAATTAAACGCATCTGTGATTAAGTATTCAGCAGGATGATGCAACAGCAACAGTATTATACTGGCTTCCCACAAAGGCACCAAAAAGATCTGTGGCATGAAAAAGACTGATGCATTTTCTATAGAATCAGCTTTTAAAGCTGTTACTTATGTTACCCAAAATGTAGTTATTCTGATTTGTATGCCCTATTCTCATATCTACACATCCTGAAAACTGGATCCTTATTTATTTTACAACATTTACCAACTGCCTCAATCTGAGTAACTCCCAGCAGCACACAAGAGCAAACCAACACGCAGAAGACCCAAAAATTTAACTAATACTTTAGTGAATGCCGACACATTCACTATAGTATTCACAGGGGGAGAGGGAATAGAAATTTAGGGGGAAAAAACAACATTCTATCACTGACACTCAGCAATAAAATGGCCACATTTCAGCAGCACAATACTGGGCTGTTTTTGAGGGTTTGCAGGATTTTAAGGATAGAAATAGTGGTATTGTGTCTCATACAGTAAGAGTCTCCTGCTCCTCTTTGGACCCTTATTTTAGAGGAGGGGGTACACTGCAAAAAATCAGCCATTTTGTGGTCAAATATAACCTGAGGGTGCCAGGAGAGTGCAAATGAGGTCCTTAGTATGTTTTGTAAACTACTGTGGGCTTAGACTGGGGAAATCCTAGTTTAAGTTTCTGCTCAGCCATAGTGGGTTTATTGTGGGCCAGTTACTTTCCTAAATCCATCCATCTCACAGGATTGTTGATGGGACAACAACGGGGAATTGAGCTTCCACAGAAAAGACGGGATCCATATGTCATGCATGCATAATAAAATCTTAGTAACATAAACCATGGCTTAACATGAGACCAGAATCCATTCAACACGTATTTGTTACCTCATAAACGCAAGGTTTCTTCCTTCCATCAGGTACCCAGAACCAACAGCTGAGGAGGACCCAAAAAATGGAGACAATGCCGCTCCCCAAATCTAATTGATTGACACCTCTCGGGAAATCTCCAAATACCAATCTATTTCCCTTCAAATACTGTCAGCAAACTCCCCTTCTAAATTATTGCACAGTGAAAGCATTGCAAAAATTTGAGGTGAAATATCTGCAAAAAACCTGTTTGATCCTTTGGTACCATAGTGGCTGCCTAAAGAATCTGTCAAGAAGGTAAATATAGTGAACCTGGAATATCTCTATTCCAGGAAATCCATAAGGTTGTTGGAGTTATTACCCCAAATTTGTTTTGTGAAGAGCTACAGTTCATAAGAGACACAACTGCCTCTATTTTCTGAAGTTAATTTATCCCAATGTCACTGTAACATTCCAGGTACTGGATAAAGTTAGCTGTAGGCCATGCACACTTATGCCATAATAAACATGAGGTGAAACCTGGATGGAAAACATCACTTACAGGGGAGGAGATGCCCATTTCTTCTGCAAGGTCATTAAATCACAAATTACACAATTTGCAGCAATGTATGTCCTTTGTGTAATGACATCATAATGGGAGTTACCTAATTACACTGTATTGACCCGAAGGAGGTAATTCGCATCATTTGTGCAATGGTGCCATTATACAAGGTATAATAATAGCTATGAATGATAAGACCTTAATGTAAAATTAATGTAAATTGAACTACCTCATCTGGACTTCTTCAAATGCATCTGTCCTTATTTGGGGGGGGGGATGGCTGGACAGGCACCTGGCCCATTTCATCAAAAATCCCTTGAAATCAGTGGTACTGTATTAGTATTTAAAGTACCACACTCTGCTGCTGTGGATAAACATGGTTCCTTCTCTGGATGCTTTTTGTGGACCATAGCGATGCTCAAAAAGCTGCTGTCTCACTCAGCTTACATGGTTATTTTTCATACTCTTTCAGTTCAAACAAACAAGTTCTCTGCTGAGGCTGCTAATAAGGACACCAACTGGGCACTGTGAATTCTTGTCTGTTAACAATTATCTTAAGAGCTTCTATTCATTGCATGCTGACATCAGACAGCTGTGAGAGACTACCACCCAGATGCAATGTAAAAATGTATCCTAGGTTTTTGCACTGGATAATTGCAAGATATCTAGACAGCTGACTTCTGCTTCCTTCATATGGCAAACTGAAGTTTGGGGTACAATTACAATACAGAACTATAATTATCACACGGGATCATTAGAAAGCTAAGACTAAGACATGTCTTCAACAGATTTTAAACAAAATATCCTTGTCTTGGCTGTTCCCCATTGTGGTTCTTCACAAAACTATTTCCTATAAGTCTTTTTACTACAAATATTTACATATATAATGTAGTATTTACATATTCAAGTGCCTACAATAGCCCTGCTTTGCTCAGTGTATTAACATACAGTGCTGGTTTATTGCATTGTATGAACTCAGCAAAATATGGTCTATAAAACAAACACAGGTCAGTGTGTATTCAAACTCAGTCAGACATAACATAAAATATAGTTTATTATGGCAAAATGTGCTGTGTGAATTCAGCTGTAGTTTATTACATAAGCCATAATTAAATAAATCATGGCCTTGCAAGTTATTAGAACAAAACCCCTATTGTTAAAATTCATTTTATATCAAGGTAATTCAGTTTTGTATATTTTTAAAACTACGGAATGCATTCTTACTAAGAAAATAAACACTGAATTCATTTTACAGTGCTCCTCCCAAAAAAGTATTTGAAATCAATATTTGTAGCCCAATACACCATTTTGAAAAAAATATCTATTCAGCACATTAATTTAAATGAAATCATTTTTCTCCATTCAGCCTTGTACCCACTTCTGGACGCACATATTTAGGAAGGGTGTTTACAAATAGGAATGTCTATAACCAAGAAGAACAACTAATACAATGACCAGCAATGATGATGTTATCTGGTTTGGGTATGAAACCTCTGCAAGAAAGAAAAAAGCTTAGAGAGCACAAAGGACCTTTAAGACAATAAAGCCCGGAAGGAAAATGCTATAAGGAGCAATTGAAAGCATAAGATAAGTTTAACCTGGAAAAGGGGAAAAAAAACTGCAAGAGTTTTGGTAACTTTCTTCAAATATTTGAAGGTCACATAGAACAAATAATAATAATAAATAACTGGATGAAAATTTAAATGACTGGATATCAGAAAATATTCCTACCGGTAATGGTAACAGCAATCAGCAATGGAACTAATTGCCTTGAAAGTGGTAAACATTCCTACGCTACAGCCATTTAAAGAGAGTCCTGCATTGACCAAGCAATGGACTAGATAATTTCCATCATCCCTTATCTTCTATGTCTATAATAGTATATGATAAAGACCTTGAAAGATAGGTGAAGAAATGCTGCCTAGGGGACAGCCAAATAACAGAAGGGATAGCCCACAGCTGCATAATGGATGGAGAAAGAAGCTCAGAATGGATCCTTTCTCGGGTTGTAAAGGAGACAGTGGAGATTTGTACTTTCAGACTTGGAAGATTCTGTTAATGTAGCCTTACAATAAAGTTGACTTAGCTCACCTGATCATGTTTCTTGTCTGGATTAACTGGGAACGCTCAGAGTGGCTCTATGAAATTCATCTCAACAGTTAAGCATAAGGAGACTATTTCAGCCAGCTAACCGTACCATGTGGTGGTTGAGGTAGTTAAGTGGTTAGCTTCTATGGGTTCACATCTGTTCTCTGACATGTCCACGTATGGTTTTGCATATTTTTGAAAAGAATTTACTTTGTATTAAAAAAAATTAAGTAAAGAGATAAACATTCAAAAATATATTGAACAACCCTATTTTGTTTAATCTGGAGTCTTTCGAACGGCAAGGGCCTACACTAAAACAAACAGATCATCATACAAGTTGTTTTGTGTAAGATTCTGGATTGGGATAACTGCTATTACGTTTAGAATAAATGATAGGGCTACTTATTGTAAAACTACCATTGCAATAAACCATTTTTCAGTTGTTTAAAAAGAGAGGTTAAATGAAAAAAGGTTTTTGTTCAGAACTCCTGATCAGCCTTCTGTGCTTTTACAAGCCTTGTATTAATCTGAACTATTTATCCTTTCCATTATAGATTTTTTTTCCCTTAGTGACTGATAATATTTATGACTTTATATCCATTTTTATTAAGGGCTGTTACACTGAATTCACTAGGAGGTTGAGTATCTGATGCAATTAGATATATTTGCAATGTCTTACTTTTTGAATCATATCATACTATTTTATTATATATTGCTAAGTTATTTGTTTAGAAGAAATATTTAACAACACTAGAGAAGTAGTCAAGCCCATTGATATAGTGCTCACTTTTGGTGCAATGCTTTAGCTTGAATAATAAGTAATAAGTTATTATGCTTTAGCTTGAATAATAAGTGATAAGTAAGTAATAATTAGTGTGTCATTGCTGCTGCAATTAAGCTCTTACTGAAAAAGCTACACACATAGTTATCCATGCAATATTTACCAGAGACATCTGATGGGAACAATTCAGATCTGCTTGCAGGCTTTTCCTTGACATCTATTGATCACTGCAGGGTATCTATCCTAATCCAATACAAGTTCTTAAAATGGCCTATTGTTTCAACAACTTCTTTAGTTCTAAGATGCCAAGGAAATTGTCACAAAAGGTAGTGTGAGATAAACTTTTCTAGAAGTTGTAGAAAAAGCAAGGGATAGGAGAAGTGACAAATAGTCCTCAAATAAAGCCAAATGTGGCCAACCGTCATCAAGGTTATTATTTTGATTTATTGAAAGCAGATATACCTTTTAATACAGAAGAAAGAAACCATGATTGCCCCATTTCCGAATACTGTAACTCTGATCTGTTTCTTGCCTAAGGAAGTCAATATGTAATTTAAAAAAAAATGATTGAAAGGAAACCTAAGAAACACTCAGCCTGAAAAAGCTACAGTTTATGTACCTCAATCCATTTGAAAGCTGCAATCACACAATATACATCACTGATTAAAACTCAATTTGCTGGGTTTACGTGACATTCAGAAATATCAACTAAGTATACAACTGGAATTGTGTAACACACCAAACCAAGATGTGGTTGGTCAGTTTGTGTCTTGCTGACTCAACCATATCAGTTCTGTAGCATGGAAGGCAGAATCCTATTTCTGGAACCAAACTATCTTTGTCTGCTAACTGCTATTGTTAATCTCTTACAATTTATGGCCATATAAGAGTAATAGAGCCAGTTGGTAAAGGCTTCTGGTTAGAAAGTAGGAGACTGACTGACCTGGGAAAAGAAGCAATAGCAAATCACTTCCAAAAACTTTGCCAAGAAAATTGCAGGGCATTTTCCAGGCAGTCTCCAAGAATCGGATGCAACTGACCCCATCATTTCTATTTTCTTCTGAGCTCCTAGTAAAAAACTATTGTAATAGACATTTTTAAAACATGAAATGATGATATTAAGTCTTTAGGATAACAGCAGTGGTTAAGGATTAATGACGGAGTGAATGGAAATGGGAAGTAATCATCATCTAAGTCCACCAATATCTGAGCTGATGACGGGTAGTTTTAATCTGTTTAGAAAATATGTTGCTACTGAATTTGTGGGGCACCACAAAACAATACAAGCTAAAGGTGACCTTGGAGCCAAGCCTTGCAAGGGGCTTCCTCAAATTTAGCAAGAGATTACATGACATTTCCTCCTTGTCTACTGTGCTGGGAAAATGCCATCAATGGCAAGGCAGAAAGAAGAATTACCCACACTAGTGAGTGTTTGGTCTAGTGGTTAAGGCAACAAGATTAGAAAGCAGGAGACCATGAGTTCAAGTCCCACCTTAGCTACTAGAGCAGTGGTTCTCAACCTTTCTAATGCCGTGACCCCATAATACAGTTCCCCATGTTGTGGTGACCCCCAAGTGGGTGTGGCCACCAATAAGAGGGAGTAGGACAGCTAGGGAAAAGAGAAAAAAAAGGCGGACAGCGTGGTTTGGCGACCTCCGTGAAATGGTCATTCGACCCCAAATGGAGTCCCGACCCACAGGTTGAGAACCACTGTACTAGAGTCAGCTGGGTGACCTTGGGCCAGTCACTCCAGCCCAACTTACCTCACAATGTGGTTGTTGTGGAGAAAATAAGAGGAGAAAAGTATGATGGGCATGTTCGCTGTCTTGAGTTAGTTGTAAAAATAATAAAAATGGGATATAAACAGATGAATATTTTAAAAACCATCTTTCTTGCATATTATAATTGGAATCAATATTGTATTATAACTTGGTCCATTTCGCAAGAGGCAGAATCTGCATTAATTCTTGATTAAAGTCCAAAGACTAGTTTACAAAGCACCTCTGGAAAAGCTGCATAAATATATTTGCAGCTCCTCTCAGCTTTCTGGAATATCTTGTTTAAGTCCATTGGTGGACTAAATTCCCGTTTTTTTTTTTTTTTTAAAGAGAAGATATATTTTAACAATTGAGAAACCTCTATGAAAGTCCTCCAGGTCAAGGCTGCTCAAAAGTGTTTTTCCAAAAGGCAACTAGACTTTGAAAAACAAAGTCCTGTTACCTTTTGAGACTTTGAAAAACACTACCCCAGCCAGATTAGTTTCCCTACAAATGCTGAGGGGGTTATTCTGGAGAGATGCGGCCTCTTTGTTTCAGCACATAAAAAAAACAAGTACAGATGAATACAGTGGTCAGTTCACAAGATTAGACAACCCAACACATCATTGCCTTCCCACCTCAGAATTCATACCTGCAGCCTCATGGTCCAACCTTCCCCCTCCCCCCAGGATTTTTGCCTTGCCGTGGCATGCAGTGGGAGAGATTCTTAGCTGCGCTTAGCACACCTCAGTCCATGACAAAGCGGACTGGATTCTCCTCCATTCAGTACGCAGCCTACCTTTTTGTTTTAGTGGCAGCAAAAGAGGTACCGGTAGGAGCGAAGGAACGAAGGAGAAGGCAAGAAAGCAGCACCTAACTAAGCTGCGATGGAGCCTAACTGCCCATTTGCTTTGAGAAGCAAAAGTCGGTTACCCTCCAGAAAGCCAGTTATCATTTTTTTGCTCCAATTACCTTGATCCGGACATAGCAGTGAGTGCCCAACGAAGGGTCACTGAGACATCCCGGCGGGTTCTCTCGGACCAGCCACTGGAAGGTCTTGCCTGGCCTGGTGCCCAGGCTCCACAAAAGTTTCAGCAGCTCGATGCAGGCGCAGAGACCACAGTAACTGTGCACCAGAGCCCAGAAGAGCACCGCCTTGATCCTCACCATGAGCCTGGCGGAGATGCACCAGCCAGGGGGAGAAGCCGGGGAGCGCGCCCGCTCGCTCTCGTCCTCTTCCAGCAGCGGCGGCGGCGATGGGAGCGATGAGCCTTCACTCCCCCTCCCGTGAACTCAAGATGGGCTCTGCCAGCGAGAGGACAGCGCGGAGAAAGCAGAAATGAACAGCCGCATCGCGGCGGCGAAGGAACGGAGAGGCGCGCAGAGGCGCGCAGACCAGGCAAACTGGAAGGGAAGGGGCCCGGAGAAAAGACGCCGAGGAGCACGCCTTGCCGCACTTCACGCGCCCGCTGCTCCGTGCTAACCTCGGCAAGCCTCCAAGAAAGGCTCGGGTCACGCCGCCGTGGTCACCTTGGTCGATCGGGCGCGAGCTGCTCACTTACTAACGCGAAGCGAGCACCGATTGCTAAAAACGCAAAAAAACAACAAAAAAACCACCCTCTCGGACGCGCCGATCGCCTCTCGCTCTTATGCTACGGTACAACCAGAAAAAGCGCCCATCTGTTTTCTTACATTACAGTTCAGGAATGCCATCCAGAATAGACAAGATCCAGCTCCGGAGGGCAGTAAAAAAAGAACAAAAAGCAGAGTTAGCGTGAGACGCCCCCCCTCCCTTCCCCCTCAGACGAGGCGTACCGCAGTAATCCTTAAGAGATGGTAGTGAAAAGTCAGTAAGTTTTGGCGTCGAGTGCCGCGAACATGCCTGCGAAGGAAGCGCGCAATTCGCCGCTTGGCCTCAGGCAACGCGTGGATTCTGGGCCGGCCCTCCGCGCGCGTGCGTGCGTCACTAGAGAAGATTCGGGTCTGGGGAAAGGCCCGGTTTTCATATTAACGTTGCGGACGTGAGCGCGTTCGAGGAAGCGGGTGTTTTGGTACAGCTGTCCGCGGACCGAACGATCGGCACCCTACCGAGTAAACCAGAGCTGTTATAAATGAGAAAGCGGTGAATAAAATTATTCATTTGGGGAAGTGTAAGCGTACGATAGGCTGGACCTGGAAAAGCTGTTATTTAAAGTTGTTTAGAACTCATGTCGTATTATACCACACCTTTTGGGAACTGTGTGTGACTAAAAACCGGGAGCCAGTGAAGTTCTAGGCCCGCTTTGGGCTCAAAAACGAGCCGACTGCCTATGGGCCAGTCACTTTCTCTCAGCCCTAGGAAGTACACAGTGGCAAACCACTTCTGAAACTCCTTGCCAAGAAAATTGAGAGGGCTAATCCAGACAGTCTCTGAGAATCGAACAGGATTGAACAGAAAAGTCTGCAGAACATAGCTCTTTGTTTCTACGTATATATGTACGTATACATGCAACATTTAGTGGATGCCATTCTTATCACATAGTAACTCTAGGTGGCTTACAATCATAAAAGATAAATACATGTATACTAAAAACATAAGTTAATACAAGCCAAACATTAACTGAATCAGCTCTCTGTGTTCAAGCAGTAGCATGCAAATCAGAGTCTGGTGAAGCTTTTGCTTGATCAGAGGTTGCACTAGAAGACTTCCAAGGTCCCTTCAAATTCTGTTATTCTGTTTTGTTCTGTTGAAGTTTGAGGACCAGGGAAATAAAATGGAGCAAAGCTGCAGGAAAATTTAAAAATTTGTAGCTTGGAAGGAAGTATAGATGAGTCGGATGGTTTTTTTTAAAAGTCACTTTAGTAGTGTTGGAAAGCAGGACAGGGACCCTGTGACCACTTGATACTGGAGTTCGATTAAAAAATTAAGAAATTGAAAGGGTTCAATTAAAAGAGAAGTCTTCCAACCTCTAGATGTGTCAGAAAACACTGCAGCCATAATTATTATACTTCCATTTTAATTTAGGGGGACCAAGTTGAAAATACTGATTAGTTCCTGATACCAGAGGTGAAACGCAGTGGCAGGGTGACTCGTTTGTCTGCCTGCCTGCCTGCCTGATTCTATAGTATGCTGGATATACTGAACAACTAGAGGCAGAAATCAAAACCTTGATGAGAAATACAGGTAATTCTCACTTACCAAACATAATTCGGACTGGGAGCTTCATTGCTAAGTGAGGTGGTGGTAAGACATAATATTATGTGTCTGTTCTGGCAGTTCTGGCCGTCCATGTTGCCATCATTCAGCAGATCCTGTGCAGTCCCAGTGTCCCCTAGTCCAGGGATCTTCAAACTTGGCCCTTTTATGACTCGTGTACTTCAACTCCCAAAATTTCTTAGCCAGGCACGCTGGCTGAGGAATTCTGGGAGTTGAAGTACACGTCATAAAAGGGCCAAGTTTGAAGACTCCCTGCCCTAGTCACATGATTACTCTTTGCAACCTATTGCTGGCTTCACCATTCACTGTTGGTGGGAAGCCAGCAGGGAAGATTGCAAATTGTGATCATGTGAGAATGGTGCAACATCATAATTATGAGCCAATTGCCAAGTGGCCAAATTGCAATTACATGACTATAGGGATGCTGTGATGGCAACATCTACAAGGATCTCTGATCAAGTACCCTTTGTTCAGTGCCATTGTAACTCTGAATGGTCGCTGAATGAACATTAAAAAAGGGCTACTTATAACATATTTCCTCACACTCTGATATATTCAAGCAACATTTTCATACATTACAAAATTGATTGGCAATATATTTAGCTAAAGTGTAAGTGGCTTCTATGTAGTCTGGATTTCGTCTTTAAAAATAGGCTAGTTACTTTGATTTCCATAAGCATCAAGAAAAAAAATATTGCAATCTTCTTCCTTACTTTCTCTTTTACTGCTTTGAGTGTCATGGCAATATCATGTCTTAGGGACAAGGTGAGATTAAAGCACGTTTTCCCCCCAATATTAACTTTGCATCCTTTTTTTTTAAGCTATATGAGTTGAACTAGCTGAATTTTATCTGTGCAGAATTTTAGCAGGATATATTTATTTCCTGGAAAGTAGGAGAGATGCTAAGTAAATAAGTAAGTAATTAAATTAAATAAATAAATAAATAAGCAACAGATTATGGGATGGGGAGATAGGAGCAGGGCTACCAGATCTGGGCTGCAAAAATCCAGACCACCACTAGATGGGAGCAACTTCCTCTATGGGTGTTTGAATTGTGCAATCTGATTCTGATAGCTGTAAACACAAGTGCCATTTAATCATTGCTGACATTCCCTGCCTCCAGCTTTGGTGATAGTAGAAGAATGGCAATGGTTGCCTAGCAACTACTATACTTCTTCCTTCCTTCCTCCAGACAGGACAACTATTAAAAAGGAAGAGAGCAAGAGAGATGATGTTCCTGAATGAAACCATGTCATTTTCTTCACCTCTAGATTGCAAGATTCAGCTGAAAGAAACTACTGAACAATAACAATTTTGTTTTTAAGTGGGAGTGATCTTGCAGGAGACAGCATGCTTTCTGCTTCAGATACCAAAAATGAGCCAGGCTGGGAGAAAAACAGCTTAGAGTAGCAGAGCACAGTGAGATAATGGTGAGTGCTGTTTCATCACTCTCCTTAGTGATGTATTTATAGTCCAGGGTTGAAGGACCTATAACTCTCCAGATATTGAATTGCTACTCCTGGCAGATCCAGCCACCATAGCTCAAAATGAAAGGTCCTGGACATCATTATTCAGTAATATATGGAAAGCCGTGATTCTCCACCCCGATTAATCATAATTGTCTGCCCATTCACCCCCATTTCATAGTTCCTTAACTTGACCATCACACGCACACATGTGGTTGACTCTAAGCTACAGAAGCTTCCTGGTTTTCAAAGTTGCTGTAAACATAAAACATCCTCGTTCACCAATAGTCTTCCCCATCTCTATTGTTGATCACCCATTCTCAGCTACATTCCATGGCTGAACGTGTTGCAAGCTTCCCAAATCTCTTACTTCCTCATCAATCTCTGGCTTCAGAGATGGATAAAACTTGCTTCTCAAGTAACCAGTATTTCAGAGAATTTGTTTTCATATGGTAGAAATTTATTTATTTTTTAAATTTATTTAAAACATTTATGCAGCCAACCAACTCTGGGCGGCTCCCAATCCAAAATTAAAAGATATATAAAATCATTTTATAACTATGAAACTCAACCAGTTAAAATTTTTAAAAAATCTGGGACCTATCAGTTCTACTGCGCAATCATCTAATCTTGCAACCTTTGATTAGAAAAGCCAGGTCTTCAAAGCCTTAGGGAAGAAGGGAGTAAGGCCTGCTGAACTTCAAGTGGCAGAGTGTTTCATAGGGGAGCTGCTGCCTTGGAAAAGGACATTTCTTAATTTCCATCAGATGGCAATATCTAGGGGAAGGTACTAGAACAGGGGTGTCAAACTGCCAGCCCGCGGGACGGATGCATCATGCCAAAACCGTGCCCACCCCATTGCCGGCAATGGAAAAAAAGTTAGGATATGTTGCGACACATCACATGACGTTGCAAGTTTGACACCCCTGTACTAGAAGAATGCCCACCCTATCTGACCTGTGGGATGGGTAGATGTCCTTAGGGAAAGGTGGTCCTGCAGATAGCTTGGCCATGTGCCATGTAGGGCTTTAAAGGTATAACCAGCACCTTGAATTGCACCCGGAAAGAAACTAGAAGGCAATGCAGCTAACGCAACAGAGGTGTTTTATGGGAAAAATTTAGCTCCCCCACCCTATTACTGTGCATGTTGCTATATTCTGGACCAGTTGAAGATCTATCAGCTTTAAAATTATGTGCCTCCCTAGATGCTTTGCATCAGTCGCAGCTTGGGAAAAAAAAAAAGCAATCAAATGCAATTTTTCTTGCATGCTGATTTATAGCCATGCAACAACTCTCATTTTGCTGGGAGAAGGGCACAGGTAAAATTTGTTTCTCACAGCAAAAGGAGGGAGTTGTTGCATGACTATAAACTGTAAAGGTAAAGCAGGGTTGATCTGATATTATGATGACCGGAAGACATTGCAGATTATTAGTGTTTTTCTAACCGGTCAGTCCTAGAAGAGATCAACCCCGACTGCTCTTTAGAAGGCCAGATCCTGAAGTTGAAACTCAAGTACTTTGGCCTAATGAGAAGGAAGGACTCACTGGAGAAGAGCCTAATGCTGGGAAAGATTGAAGGCAATAGAAGAAAGGGATGACAGAGAATGAGGTGGCTGGATGGAGTCACTGAAGTAGTAGGCATGAACTTAAATGGACTCCAGAAGATGGTAGAGGACAGGAAGACCTGGAGGAACGTTGTCCATGGGGTCGCAATGGGTCGGACACGACTTCGCAATAAACAACAAGTGTTTTTGTTAATACTTTCAAAAATCAATCTTTCCTTGCAGTCTGAAGCAGTGGTTTGCAAACCAATAGAGGAATGCATGAATCGTGTGCATAAGGAGGGACGGAGAAGCTTACATGCTTATCTTTTTGTGAAGGAAGGAGAAAGGCTGTTAATTAGCCCATAGAATATAGAAAACTCCAGGGGCCGCGCGTTCATCAGTTGGAAAATTTGAAGTAGAGAATTGGACTGACCTTTTCTGTGCTTAGATACCAAAATCTGCAAACAAACCTATAACACACTGCAAGCATTTAAAATCTGCATATGATGAAGACTAGAGGATTGTTAGGATATTGAATTTAGTAGCTGGAACAGTGAAGTATACAATAGGTCAGAACACACAGTTGTAGTTGATTAGAGAGTGCTGGCTCATGCATGATGCAATTTACGCTACGATTAGTTGCTGTAGGTATAAAGGGGGAGTTTCCCCCCCTTTCCCTCCTTTTTTCTTGTGTGTATTCTGTTATACTGTTTGAGATCGAATCTGGGTCAGTCACCGGGACCAGAAATTTACTCTTCCGAGCTTTTGTACTTATGCTGGAGCTCATCTTCAGGGATCTTCTCTCTATACATACTTTGGACTGTTCTGTAAGTCTGGTTTATGTGGTGCCTTCCTATTGGCTGATTGGTGTGGATGGCTGGCGATTGGCTGTCGTTTCTTTTTGCTGCCAACCCCTCAGCTCCTAAGTACTTGATAAGCTGGTGGTAAATCAGCACTCTTGTTAACTGACAAGGGGCCTCTTTCCCATGTTTCAATCATTTTCCTGGCTATCTTTGTACCTGCATGGCCAATGATCTTAGTTGCTGTGAAATTAAATGTATGTCCTTTTGCATTGCAATGTGAGGCTACCAATGAGTTTGGATCTCTTCGTCTGACTGCTCATTTGTGTTCTTGCAATCTGGTGATTAGCTTCCTCCCCATTTGTCTTACATAGTCACAGGAGCAATCCATGCAGGGGATTCGGTAGATTACATTGGAAATATATCTCACTCTTTAATTTACCTCATGATGTTCCTGTGTCCTTGACTATCTTGTGTTGTTTCTTATTGGATGATAACAAAGACTGCTGTAAATTTGAATATTAAATATATTTATATACAAGTTTGTGTTAGTGTCTCTGAATTCATTTGGACAACTGCTGCATAATTCCATGAACAAGGATTTATACATTTGTTTGAAAGGATGATTTTCAATTGAGAAGGTTAAAGTTGTAGCAGAGTTCATTGTCAATTTTTTTTCCTATTGGCAGCAGTCCTTTCCTTGAACTTCATGGAATGACATTCCACAAAATTTCTCCAACTTTAGGGCAACTAACATGAAAGAAACATTGGAGATTAGAAGGCCTTCCTGCGACCGTACGCTGTGATTATGCTGTGTCTGTTCAGACTTGGGCCGAAGGCTAGCAGGGTTAACTCAAGACATTTTCCAAACAGAACCAAACATTGAAGTAAAAATAGATTATTAAGGTATAATAATTCAGCCTAGTTAAATAATATTCTATATTATAATTAGAAGAAAACGTAACAGGTTCAACTTGGTGTCATCTACAATTCTTAAATTACCTAATTGAATCAACACTGATTTATATCCTAGATCTTGCTTTCTTAGAAAGGCTTGTATTAGTTGAGTGGCAGTTGCTCCATATAGAGCAAGCAATAATTGACCACAATATGTTGATATACTGTATATAGAGAGCCAGTTTGGTGTAGTGGTTAAGGTTAAGCCTAGAAACGAGGAGAAGGTGTCCAGCTTTAGGCATGAAAGCTGGATTGGTGACTTGGGCCAGATCCTCTCTCTCAACCTAATCCATCTGACAGGATTGTTGTGGAGAAAATAGAAGGAGGAAGGAGAGATGGAAGAAAAGTATGTTCATTGCCTTGAGTTACTTATAAAATAATAAATAGTAAAAATCTAATAAAAAAGTCTACGCCTATTATTGCAGGGATTGCTAATAAAATTATTCACCATATCAGAGATTCATACAGTACATTTGCCAACAGTAGGTTACCTCAGACAGTTTCCACAGAAGAATAAATGTGATCCCAGATCCTAAGATCAGAAATGGAGTATCAATTCCCAAGATGCTCAAACATAGTTTGCTGAGCAAATTAGAATGATTTACAGAAATGTGTGCCTGTCCATATCAACACCCTCCTTTCTGGATCTCTATGACTTTTCTATGACTTAATATGAATTTACTCAGATCAGTGGGTATTTCTTATTTATATTATGGGGGGGGTCATTCTTGAGCAAAAGAATTACAATGATTTCAACTGTCCGTTTCCTCTGGATTAAATAGAAATTAACAGTTCTTCCAACCCTATGATTACCAATGCAAGAATGCCTGTTTCATGAATACCAATGATCAATTATGTAATTATAACTATTTCCTGTATTTTATTTTATACTGACTTCTTTATTGTTCTACTCAGAAAGCTGAGATTAATATTCCACATATTTAACTTCAATAAATATTTATGCTAGAATGAGTATCTGCTAAGTTTTTAAATTGCCACACTACTGTTTTATTAATTATTGTTATGATTAACCAATCTATTTTGAATGGCAGTTCAGAATAAAAGGGCTAAACTGTGATCTAAGCATTTCAGAAACTTTCTGGCAAAGAATACTAATTTAGGTATATCATAAATAGCAAAATAATCTGTAAGGTTCAAAATTAATAATTTAACTCCAGTATGAAAACTTATTTTATTGTCATATGAAAGCTGTAAATATAAATGCTCTTTGTTATCAAATAAAGCAAGATTGCATTCAAGACAAAAATAAAAATTTAAACCACAGGGAACACAAAATGACAATTCACTTCCAGATTTTACTAAGAAAAAAAAAGGATTTATCTTTTTCAAGTCAGATAGATTTGAGCTCTAAATGAACTAAAAATAATGTTAAACTGCCACTTAAAAAAAATCAACAACCATATTAGCTAAAAATCAAAATTAGACAAAAATTAACCTTCAGGTATCCTTATTAAAATGTTAAGCATAACAAAAATGCATTTATAAGTACAATATATAATGGAGATGCGAAACATCACTTACTTTCCAGAGTTTAAGTATTTTCCCCCAAAATTATATTTACCTTCATATGTGTTCTACATGTATTTAAATGGTAGTTTTGAGCCCTCAGATCAATACTTTTCCTTAAATTCTTCACTTCCCAAAATAAAAATTGGGGTTGATTGTAATGTTGTTGAAACACATTTCAAAATGTATTGTTTTTGTATGGCAATATTCAGAAAACTTCCTTAGAAGGGCTGACCAATTATGCCTTGGAAGTTTGCATGGGCTTTTTTGATTTTAATAAGCAAATGTAATTTTATAAAACTGAAATTATATTCATACACTAGCTCTTCAAAAAAAATAGTGGTATTCCCAATATCGGGGATCATTTTTTCAGAATAGTTTCTGCAATCTATAACCAGTTTTTGAAGAGCTGCAAAGTAACGCAATCATCCATCTCCATTTCACTGCAGAGTTTCTTCAAACGTTGCCATAACATCACTTTGAAAATTCATGTCAATGGTGCTTTTCAACTATTAAAAACAACAACAAGGAAGAAAAGGGGAAAAAGACACTTAATTTGGAGTAAATGCTGCTGGATTCAGTAGAATTGGATTCTGGGCAATAATGCAACGAACCTGTCAGATATAAAAAGCAAACGTGGGAAAATAACAATAAAGTTGTGGATACACAATAATTTTAGAATTGATTTAGAATTGAGAGCTATGGTTTTCAATGGCCCATTGCAAGCTGCATTCTTACAATTAATTGAGGGCAAAGGAAAAGAAACAGCTGAGGTCAGGCAAAAAAATTGATCCCTCAACCTTCTTCAGCCTCAATTTCTAAGCTGGTTCTTCAGACAATTTAAACCAATAAACTTCTGTTGACTTCATTCCAAATAAATGAAGCTGATCTTTAGCTCTTTCATTGTGTTAGGGAACCAGCATTCTTTAAGCCAGCATTTTTCAACCTTGGCAGCTGGAAGATGTTGAGACTTCAACTCCCAGCCTGGCTGGGGAATTCTGGGAGTTGAAACCCACACATCTTCAAGCTGCCAAGATCAAGAAACCGTGCTTTAAGCTGATATCGGTGGCTTACCGCTTCTCTTCTTCTGCGCTCTTGCTCCATTTTTCTTGCCAAATTACGGTCTATGACAAGATTTGGTATTGAATGTGATTGCTCTCTTCCAGATCCTGCTATATTTGGAATGGGACCACCTTCTTTTACTGCTGTGGATCTCAAATCCATCTCTCTACTGTTTCTAAAGAAAAATAATCAACAACTTTTGTGTAGGAAGTCGGACATGCAAGCTTTACATTTGAGTGAACAAACACACACAGGGTATTCATTGCTTACAATCAGCAGTGATTTAGTACGGTGATTTGCCCATTGTCACGACAGTGGAGGATGGGATGCCTTAAAAATCAGCACGCTGGATGCATCCACCACCATATGCCAAGTGGAGCAAAGCAATAACATTAATGCAAGCTCTCTCACCCTCCCAAAATATCCTGGAAATGGAAATAAAGATGTAGTAAAATTTTCTGAATTGCTGAAGTGACTGTTGACAAATATAGAGACATTGCTTTTGCCCTTGCACAGAAAATCTTGTTTTGTTCATGAATTGTGATTACCTGGGCAGAGCAGGCCCTGAAGAGTTGCTATCTAGCACCTTTTCCTCAGGAAGGAAACACAGTTACCATGAATAATGACAAACATAACAAATGTATAATGAATTGATTATGGGGAGAATGCCTGTTCATGGTTTCAGGAAGCTAAAACAAATTAAATATTGTTAAAGCACTTCATCATTCATCAGATGGTAAGTAATCCAGGAACTATACAATGAGAGCAAGGGGAGAACCCCTAAGAGTTCAGTCTGGCTCAGCAGCATAACTCAGGGTACCATTGCTTGTTCCCAATTAAAAGATGACAATGTTAAGTATGCATTATTAATGAGTAGTTTGCTTCTTTGAGTCTCAAACAAATGCTTGTGTCAGACTCACATTACCACAGTTGGAGAACGATTCTATGCTACTAAGGATGATAAAGAGTTAATTCTCTGGAAGCCCATTAAATTTCTGAGTCAAAAATCATAGGATAGGCAATTTGTTTTAGTCAAGGAAACTCAGAGCATGAGTTTTGTTTGTTTTTTTACAAACGAATTGGGGAGAGCAAGTCAAGTGCATGATGACATCAATTCACCAATTCAAACAGTATTTAAATTTAAGATGTTGAAACTCTAGAAAGAGTACAGAGAAGAGCAACAAAGATGATTAGGGGACTGGAGGCTAAAGCATATAAGGAACGGTTGCTGGAATTGGGTATGTCTAGTTTAACGAAGAGAAGGACGAGGGGGGACATGATAGCAGTATTCCAATACCTCAGGAGCTGCCACAGAGAAGAGGGAGTCAAGCTATTTTTCAAAGTGCCTGAAGGCAGGACAAGAAGCAATGGATGGAAACTAACCAAAGAGAGAAGCAACCTAGAACTAAGGAGAAACTTCCTGACAGTTAGAACAATTAACCAGTGGAACAACCTGCCTCCAGAAATGGTAAATGCGCCAACACTGGAAGTTTTTAAGAAGAGACTGGACAGCCATTTGTCTGAAATGGTATAAGGTTTCCTGCCTGAGCAGGGGGTTGGACTAGATGACCTCCAAGGTGCCTTCCAACTTTACTACTACTACTACTATTATTATTATTAAAAGTTTGGAAGGACCTTTTGTCTTGTCAGTCTTGATCCCACAGATTATTCCAGAGGATAGTGTGAAAACGTGGTGGGTGCTTCTATATTTATTATCAGTGAAGCTGTCTCACATTTTCATCAGCTTGAGTGATTATTTCCACAATCATCATTCTGCTCTGCTCTGTATAAACCCAGTCGTATTTAGAAATGGAGGCTAATTCTGAACATTTGCTGTTTGGCAAGCAAGTCCTCTTTTGCAATTGACTTTAAATATTTTCTCTCACACAAGAGCTATTACAGAACAAGGCAGCTAGAAACCACTTGCTGCAAAGTCAGTGAACAGACTGTGAAATAAAGCCTTTCAGTTTAATTCTATGGAATTGCCAACCTTTCTTTTTCCTGAGGATGTTTTCTCAACTTCCTCTCTGCTTGTTCCAATCGTCTTTTTCGTTCCTTTGCCCACTCGCTTTCTTCTTTTTCCAGTGCAGCTTTTTGGAACTGTTTGAAGCTTTCATTGGAGGATCTGACCGAGATTGGAGCAGTCACCATCTTACCTAAACTTGTCCAAGAATCTGCATGTTTGACTTTTATATCCTGCAATTATAACCAGCAACGTAATTCTAAACACAAGCAGATAACTATCTTCCACATTTGACAGGACTCCCCAAAATAAATAGCAGGTAGGGTTTTTTTTTTAACTAATGTAATCATTGTATCCTCATAAATTTAGAGCATTTCCACATCACCAACACTATTCCTTCACCTATCTCTCAAGCAGTTGAAGCTGACCAGCAATTGTGTTTATTGTAGCTAAACTTGAAAGGCCAAGATCTGCACGAATAGACCATTTTTCTTCCTACTGGCTATCCAATAAGAAAGCGCATGGATCAGCATTCAAGGCCCATTAATAGTTCACATTGTATGCATTTCCTTGGTAAACCTCTATCCCAATAAAGTTGTAAGGTGAAACCAACAAGGCATTGTTGATCCATTGAAATGATGCTATAGCAGTAGGTGGATGAGATTATTCTCCAGCCATGAGCTCAAAGGAAAAATGAAACAATTTGCACCTCATGGGAAATTGACCTATCCAGAGACTCTGCAAAGCTTCAGGGATTCAAAGATGGCCTTTCTGCCATTCTAGATTATGCTTTATTTGAACCAGAAATACATCAGCTCTGCTGCACAAGAGAGATAATGGTATAAGATAATCCATAACCAAAGAATCCACATCAAAATGCCCTTCCTTGACCCTTATTTAAAACTAAGCAACATTATTTATGAATATATGTAACTAATCTCCTAGGACAGTGAAGCTTCTTTGGGAAAGGCAGTAATTTACTTCCTAAAAACAAACAAACCAAGAGAAGATAATGAGGGACAGAAATAGCCTACAAGGCTGCACATGTGCATCCAATGAAGTAATGGAAACTCCTAGTCATTACAGACCAGTTTTATCAAGAAATAAGATTTTTGTTTCCCTTTTACAGATGTTTTTCAATCTAGGTATACTAGATTGAAGTGGGAGCCCTTAAAGGAAAAAAAAAAAAGATTTGACTACTGTGAGGAGCATTTCCAAGATGCTGATTTACATCTTTTTTTGTCTCTGTGTGTGCTGATGTTATATGACAGTGTTTTCCTGCTTGAAATGGAGGCTGACACAGGGCTCCAAAATACACAGAACGAATGAGGTGGCCATTGGATGGTCCACATCTCTCTGTTATGACTGTATTTATTTGTAGAAGGAGGGTCCTACAAATTCTATCATTCTAAAGCAGGGATCCCCAACCCCCCGGTCCGTGGACTGGTACTGGTCCGTGGCATGCCAGAAAGTGAAGCCCCATCTGCAAGATGCAGGCAACATGCAAAACCACACCCCCTCTAGTCTGCAAAAAAACCTCTCTCCATGGAACCGGTCCCTGATGCCCAAAAGTTTGGGGACCTCTGTTCTAAAGGACTCAGAAAGGACTCAGATTGTCAAATATTTCTGTTGTAATTATTTATTTTATAACTTGCCTTTATTATTTATATAAACCAGTGGTTCTCAACCTTTCTAATGCCGCGACCCCATAATACAGTTCCCCATGTTGTGGTGACCCCCAACCACTTATACATCACCGGGTGCCAGGGGCGTGGCCAAAGAAAAGGGGGAAAAATGGCAGATAGCCTTGTTTGGCGACTTCCGTGAAATGGTCGTTCGACCCCAAATGGGGTCCCGACCCACAGGTTGAGAACCACTGGTATAAACAGCTCAAGGTGGCAAACATGTCTAACACTTCTTCCTTCTCCTATTTTCCTCACAATAACCACAACCATGCAAGGTGAGTTGGGCTAAGAGCGCGTGACTGGCCCAAAACCATCCAGCTGACTTTTATCACAGTCTCCTGATTTCTTGTCTGGTACTTTAACCACTAGACCAAATTGGCTCAATGTATATACTGTATTTCAATATATATCTATATATACAGTGATCTATATTACTATAATATATCATTGATATGTTGTGTTGGAAGAAAAATCGGGTCCAGTTCCAAGCTGGAAATAAAATGGAGGCTGCTTAAGCAAGAAGGTCTTTTTATTGATGAGCAGAACCAGCAATAGCATGCAGTCCCGGGACAACTGACAAAATGGAGTTGATAGTAGGTGGGTTTTTATATATTCTTCGGGGCTTTGTGTTTGAGATGCCTATTGTGAAATGTACTTTGACCTATGTATGAATGTGTCCTTTAATATTTTAATGGCTGTTGCTAGATTCCTATGGGGTCATGTAGAGGTCATGGATGGCTCTATAGGCAAAAGGGGAAATGCAAATCCTAGGTGTTTGAGCTAATCTTGTCAACTTTTGACTTGTCTAATTGTGTTGTTTATCTGGAGTCTCTGTTTGCTCTTTGCTTATGAATAGAGTGCCCCAATCTTTCTGAATGGAGACAAAATCTCCATTCTAAAGACTTCAAGCTCTTCAGGTTTATTTATTTATTTATGAGACTTATATACCGCTTTAAGTGCAAGCACTCTCTAAGCGGTGTACACCAGTAAGCAATGTATATTTATATATTTACATTGCCCCCAACAATCTGGGTCCTCATTTTACTACCCCGGAAGGATGGAAGGCTGAGTCAACCTTGAGCCGGTGAGATTTGAACCGCTGACCTGCTGAACACAGTCAGCTAAAGTGGCCTGCAGTACTGCACTCTAACTGCTGCGCCACACTCGGCTCTTTCCTGCAGCAGGAAGACTGGGGCAGCTTTCTGGGGCAGATTTTTCCCTGCATTTCTCCTTTAGGGCAGGGATCACCAACCCCCGATTTGTGGACCAGCACCGGTCCGCGGCATGCCAGAAACCGATCCATGCAAACAAGTGAAGCCACATCCGTAGGATGCAGGCAGCACGCAAAACCACACCCTTCCTATCCATGGAAAAGCCTCTCTCCGTAGAACCGGTCCCTGGTTCCCAAAAGGTTGGGGGCCACTGCTTTAAGGGAAATATTTTATCCTGCCTCTTTCTAATATTCCTCAAAATATTTCATTCTCAGGGGGGGGGTGCTGACTTCCTACAATTGATATATATCATTACACTCATTGATACATGTAAATCAGAGCAAAGAGTTTTGGCTCACCATCAACTGATTTTCAGGCTACAACTCAAACATGCAATTGCTTTCAGGTTTATTACTTTTATTGTTAGCTCTTTACCTTAAAATGTGTTTCTTCACTTGTTTTTTTTATATAACAAATCCAGACTATACTCTATTGCCCTGCATTGATTTAGTTCATTGTTCCTCTTTCCTTTCCTCCTTGGTTTTTAGACATGAATTGCAATATTTGTCATTTGCAATTGCAACGTAAATTTGTTTAGAATTAATTGATAAAGAAAAAGTAAGATTTTTTTAAAGAGCTTTACTGAGACCAGTGGTTCTCAACCTTTTTAATGCCGCGACCCCCCAACCGGTCGTAAGTCGAGGACTACTCAACCGGTCGTAAGTCGAGGACTACTCAACTGGTGCAGCACCGTTTGCAGAATGGGACTTTTGGCGGGCTCAGCAGGGCAGAGACAGCCTGGACAATTCCTATTGGCTTTTGAAAGCCAATAGAATTAGACTCTATTCAAGAGAGTCTATTCTATTGGCTTTCAAAAGCCAATAGAATAAAAGGGAGTAGCACAGCTAAGGAAAAGGGGGGAAAAATGGCAGACTGCATTGTTTGGCGACCCCCGTGAAATGGTCGTTCGACCCCAAATGGGGTCCCGACCCACAGGTTGAGAACCGCTGACTTAGACTCTGCTTTGTTATGGCTTGTGGATCTGTAACTGTTTTAGCAGAGACATGACTTTATTAAAAGAGATCTCTTTATTTTATTAACTACATTCAAATTTAAAAATGCAATCAGGATGCAATTCCTCTTGCTTTTAGGAATACAAATGCATCAATAACTGTGAAGCAAAAAGCAATTAAATGCATAATTATCAGAATAAATTTTCTAATCAGTTGTAGGGAATTTTTTTTTTAAAAAAATGAATTTCTCATTTCTGAATAAACATCATAGAGCAGGGGTGTCAAACTGCTGGCCCGCGGGCTGGATGCGTCACAAGGAAACCACGCTCTGATACGTTGCCTGACGTCACATGACATTGCGGGTTTGACATGTCATAGAGGAATCATGCTGCTGCTGAATAATACAGTATCAGTTGATATCAGTTTTAATTATATTCACCATGGCTAGTAGGAAAACAACTTCTCAGCAGGGTCAAAGACCCTGGTGTAGAAGTTCTGCATAGATGTACTTTTGGATATATAAATAGACAAATACATCCTACTATTCCTCTTTGGGATAAGCAAAAAGAAATGAAAGGCAAAAAATAAGAGAAAATGAATTCTAACTACATGAAGCAACAACTGATGTACAGTGAGGTTGCCTGGACTATCATTTTTTGCTGGATACAAACTATAATTTGTGGGGACCCATTGTGTGTCAGTCCAAACCAGCTTGATGGAGATAACTGTTTGGGGCTGAGAACATCTATCTCCATTAAGGTGTAAAAGCATTCCCAACATCATACTAATCAGAATGCTGTCTGCACCTGTATGGTATCTAATGGGCATTATTAAACATGCCTTCAGATCAGCTAAAGAAATGAACTGAGATTGTACATCCTTCAGCAGTAGCACTCGGTTATTTCCATCATTTGTTCCTGCTGCAATGATGAAGGGGAAGTTTAAAATTGCAGAAGACCTGGGCTTAGGGTGAAGGAAACTGCTTAGTGACAATGTGGAATAGGTTCTATTTGTTTTTATGTGGATCTGAAGCCACTTCTGGTAATATGAGTAAGGCAGTAATAAAAACTGGTTTGGTCTCATGGTGAAGACACCAAACTAGAAGCCAGGAGACAGTGAGTTCTAATCCTGCCTTAGGCATGAAAGCTGGCTGGGTGAATTTGGGCCAGTCACTCTCTCTCAGTCCAGCTCACCTAACAGGGTTGTTGTTGTGGGGAAAATAGGAGGAGGAACGTGTGTTGGATATGTTTGCTGCCTTGAGTTATGTATAAAAATAATCAAGGCAGAAAATAAAAATAAAATAAATGTCCAAAACTATTGCAAAAAAGTAGTGCATGTTTACCTTTATTAGAGGAATCTGAGGCTTAGTCTCTCTCTTTTTTCTTTCCTCATGGTTATTTGAACAATTTTCTGTAATAATGGCACGTGCAGATTCTGTCATCCGTGGTCGCCAGTGGCCGTCTGGGAAACTAGCCTTCAGTTCTGGAATGCAAGCCAGAGCAGAGACAGACTAGAGAATTTTCAAGAGGGTGAAGACATCCTTCATTAGTTTTTGTAATTAGATAGAAACACTGGTGGGATTCAGATAACTGAACAACCAGTTCTCTGTGTGGATGCCACTTCCGGAAGTCCGTTCTGAGTCCAAGGAGCCTCCCAGGCCCAGAACAGTCCACTGGAAGTAGTGTCCATGCACTTCTGGGGGTCCATTCTGGGCCTTGAGAAAAGGGCAGTGGTGGTGAACCTATGGCACGCGTGCCAGAGGTGGTACTCAGAGCCCTCTCTGTTGGCACACGCGCCACCACCACCAGCAGCAGATGCCTCAGGCCACCACTGCCGCTCAGAGCAGGAGTCCCACCCAGCACAAAGGAGGTGAAGCGGCCGATTAGCAAGCTCGAGTAGAGGTGGTAGAGCAGAGGTCACCAACCATTGTTGATTGGTGGACTGGAAGAAAAGGGAGGGGGAAGCATTTTACATGCATGCATGCATGCATGCACGGGGCTGCAAGCACACACGTGCTGTAAATGGGGCGGGGCTAGTGCCTGCGTGATACTAGCCCTGCCCCGTTCTTGCATGGTGCAACGCCTTGTATCTGCACCCCACAGCATGGCCATTTTTGTGCCTTGCAGCCCGGTGGCCCATTTATGCGCTCCTGTTTTTTGCATGCCAGAGGCGGCACTCAGAGGCACCCCCCCCATGAGGGCACCACATGCTGATGCGGCCCTGGCACTTTGCAATAAAAAGTGGGTTTTGGGTTGTGGTTTAGGCACTCGATCTCTAAAAGGTTCGCCATCACTGGACTAGGGCATCAGCCAGTTCACCGAAGTCAACAAAAAATTAGCTGCCGGTTCTACCGAATTGGTGCGAACTGGCTGAATCCCACCACTGGATAGAAACCTTCATTCAAGTGCTATCAATTTCAGCATTCTTATCTGTTTGAATTACAGGGTATATTTCCATTTGACAGTCTTTTGGAGGCTTTGTTTATCCCTTGTTTTCTTTGCATAGTTTCCAAGTAAGCAGACGGATAGGAACGTCCCATGTGACTACAGCTTTCTATTTTCAGATGCCTGCTTGAGTGTAGAAGGTGCATATTCCCCCCTCCTTTCTGAATATGGACCATTTAGTCTCTTGTAATGGTATTTCCTAGCTCCCCAAGGAAGGAAAAGTCTGGAACCTTATACTTAATATAAAGCTCTCTGTGACAACTGCTACCACTTTCTCCCCTCAAAATAAGTTATCCCCTACATCGAAGGAATGCTATACATTTTAATTATTATTATTTGCTTTCCTTGTCCAAATGACTAAACAGCAATGTGTGAAGGGATAAACCTTTGAAAAATATTATGCTGCAAAACAATGATGATATAAATAAAATTGCATAGGAACCTTATGTAGCCTAAAATCCTAAAAATAACTACATAAATTAGTAGCAGCTCTATGCTCCTTAAACATTACAATTATATTTCATCCTAAGTAGGCACATTTTGAGGGCAGGGGTGGGATTCAGTAACTAAGAGTGGTTAACAAACAGTGCAGAGTTACTCCTTCATAGCTTTAATGCACAATGCTCTTATTCTTCTTAAATCAACTCACTGGTATATCCCTGAGGCTATGCAATACTGTATATATCTGGATATTTCCACACAGCATTGACTCCAGCTCCTATTTCTTTTTGTTTATAATTCCTGTAGATTACCAATTTTAGGTAGCAATTGGTGGATAAATCAGCAAAACCCAAGTTCCTTGGATCCCACGATGAGTCCCAAATATTTAGGGTACTTCCATAGGGAGCTTGAACACTCAGCCCTAGACCTGTTCATTCTTGCCCTATCAGCCAAGTGCAGAAGCTGAACCAATGGCAGACCACATTAAGCCACAGCACCTCTATTTCTTTCTTTCGAAATGCTGCAGCTCAACAGAACTTTCCATTTCCCCCATCTGCAGGAACTGACCTCCAGCCTTGCCTCTTTTCTCTCCCCCATCGTGGGGGGGGGATACTTAACTCTGCCCCCACCTGCATGTCCTTTATCTGCCTGTAAAATGGTTTTCTGCATTTTGAATTGGGCAGGTGTGATGTAGACATGGTCGAGCTTCATATTGTTTGGGGAGAGTGGTAATGGTGACATGAAAGCACACTTATGTCTGCTCTTTGACTGTAATAAACATTGCTTTGACTTGACACTTACTATGTGATGCTAATATTGGTAGCCAATACATACTTTGCTCATGATCAGGTGGTGTTACTTTGGCAACTCCCATAGAGGATTTAATCTGGAGAGCAGATGGCAGCCCCTGTTGCAATAATGATGGTTTCCGAGTATCTTTCATGTTGTCCAAAGGGTTATTTGAAGAGGAAGAACAAGGCACCTATAGGAAAGTTGTAAAGTCTTAAAGGAATTTTATCACAATTGTAGAGGTCACACATCCTACAATGGTTTTATCTATAGATGGAGAGACTGACATGCCTTTTTGTATTCCCTCTGTCCAGGGCTTTTTTTTTTTTTTTTGTCATAGAATGCCCAGAATCCTTTTTTTTTTTTTTTTTTTACAAAAAAAGCACTGCCTCTGTCCATCCCTACCCACTTATGTGGGGTAAGCTCCATTCATAGATGAAACAAATAGAAACTTAAGGCTGAAGTGCTCAGATATGGTCTAATGCTACTTATTCTCATGACTTCTGGAAACCAATTTTTGAAATATAAAGTGATTTCTATCTCTGTCTCTAACTTTCCCATTTTAAAAAAAACCCTGTGTTGGGTCAGCACACTTGACACTTTCTAATATAGAAGAAAACAATCAAACTGTAATAAATTTCTTTCTAATCAAGTAACTTTTAGTAAACTCATCATAGTTAATTGAGTGAAGGGCAATACTGCCTCCAACCTAGTATTACCCATGTGTGAAGATACAACAACTCTGCCTACCAAAACCATCTTCCTTTAAAAGTCTTCCATAAATGCTAATCACTGAAAATATCAAGACACTGAAAAGGTGTTTTATGTATATCTGCATTTTTATGAAATACATCTTTCATTTCCCAATATTATCAGTGATATCCACCTCTGAAAGCTTGCGAGAAGGGCTGTGAGAAGCTTGGGTTGCCAACAAGTCACTCTGAGTTGTCTCTTGAACTGGCATGCAGTGCAGGGGTGACACAACAGCTACCATACCTGCAAGGAAGAAAGGGAAACACAAAAAAGAACGCCCGTGCAATGTTGCATCTCTTCACCCTGACTTGCCACAGTGGTGAGGTGGCAAGCTGATGACTCTGCATTGCTCCAAGTCAATTAATGTTTTTGAGTTTGATGAACCATATGTAGGATCTCTTTTAACTGCCTCATCCCTATCCCAGAGGTTTCACTTGGGAAGGTGAGGACAGAGCTACATGAAACATGTCTTCAAGAAGGGAGACACATAAGAAGAAAGAATTCCCACAGAGCACTAGATTTGCTAATAAATAAAGTAGCTGAGCATATCTAAGGGCTTCAGGAAGAAACCGAGAAGAACTGTGGGAAAGGAAGGGGAAATCCATCCAAATATTTTCCAAAATAACAGTGGGTTTTGGATGGCAGGCCTGCAAAAAGCTGAAATACATTTCAGATAGATTCAGTGGTGGGATTCAGCCAGTTCGCACCACTTTGGCAGAACCGGTAGTTAATTTTGTTGCCGAGGCCCAGAATGGACTTCCAGAAGCGGCATCCACAGAGAACTGGTTGTTCACATATTTGAATCCCACCACTGGATAGATTGTGGGTAAAAACAAGTCAGCTGGGTGCACGGGGGCACATGCGTCTTCCTTCCATGAGTCACTTGAACATGGAATATCTTTTGGGATAGGATTTTCCCTCTCTCTTGGAAAAAAAACAACAACAACATGGCATGCTTGTTGGACCTGAATATTTGCATATATTTAACTTTTCAAATATATAAGTTAACTATCTGAGTGGCGTACCCACTTTTTCCTTAATTTAAAAGGCACTTTGCAACATTTATTTTAAAGCACATGCTTCTGTTGTTGATTCTGGCAAATGTTGCAAAGATGCTTGTAGGTCTCCAGTGTTCTCTCAATCAAAACAAAAAACACACATACAACAGCAGATCGATCGCAATACCCACCCTTCTCAAAGAAGCAGAAGGATTTTATATCACTTTTTTCACTTTCTCAGTTATAACAAAATAGGTATTTTGAGCCAGTTAAGTGCATCCTACCGGCGCGTGAGAATTCCTAGAAAATGTTTTACCTGAAGGAGAAACAATGCGTTGTTCTTGAAGTTTAAGAGGACTGAGCTGCAAAGACCGAGAACAAGGCAGTAACTGGTGGGAGGCCCTGGCTTTGGGTGCTCTTGGGGGCAGCTTGCTAAGAGGCGAAGGATTCCATATCTGAGGAACGACATTGCAGGAGATCTCTGGATGATGCAGCGGGATCTGATAGGGGAGGAATTAAAATCGTTATGCACATTTTGCATTTGGTGAGTCTTTTACGCCAGGGGTTCTACATAAAAAGCGGTCTTGCAGTGAGAGTGAAATCTGAAGGAGCAGGAGCAGCGGAGAAGCCCAAACTGAAAAACGTGGGGCTCGAAAGATGAGAAAGGTTTACCTTAAGCTGTTCTCTGCAAAACAAATCCTTTTCCCCATTTCCATTATCTTTTATGTATGCCTCTGTAAAAAGATGGCAAAAGCCAGTTTAGAGCATACATATATAAATATATATATACATAGTGACATTTTATGCACATTTGCTATCCAACATTGTATTTGTTGTAAAGCTTTATTATTCCATAATTCTAGCATTTGTGGCATTTCCAACAAGGTTTTTCTAAGATGTAATAGGGCATTTCTCACAAATCCATCAATTTTATTTCACACATTTGGCACATCTCCTAGAAGTCTGATTCAAATAACTGGAGATATGGTTGAGTTCTAGGTTGCAGTGAAGAAACTATGAAGGGATACCTCTAACATCAGTGGAAGAGAATATTTGTAGCTGAGGGTTGAACTCTGGGTAATGAAACAACTGAGTTCAGAAGGCATAAAGGACTCCACCTCCAATGTCTTCACAAACTGTATTGCCAACCCAGCTTGTTCCTTTGACAACAGCACAACTATAGGCCAAATATTGTGGACGTCTCCAAGATTCCCTAGAGCAGTGGTTCTCAACCTGTGGGTCGGGACCCCATTTGGGGTCGAACAACCATTTCACAGGGGTCGCCAAACAATGCAGTCCGCCATTTTTTCCCCCTTTTCCTTAGCTGTGCTACTCCCTTTTATTCTATTGGCTTTTGAAAGCCAATAGAATAGACTATCTTGAATAGAGTCTAATTCTATTGGCTTTCAAAAGCCAATAGGAATTGTCCAGGCTGTCTCTGCCCTGCTGAGCCCGCCAAAAGTCCCATTCTGCAAACGGTGCTGCACCAGTTGAGTAGTCCTCAACTTACGACCGGTTGAGTAGTCCTCAACTTACGACCGGTTGGGGGTCGCGGCATTAAAAAGGTTGAGAACCACTGCCCTAGAGAAATTAAAGCATTGGTTAGACTAAAAGTTGTCATTAACACTAGGTAAGCCCAGAATGATCCATTGATGGATTATAAAATTTACCAGAAGGAAATTTGTCCAAGGCCCCACAAATCTATTATGAAGGTTTAATAGTCATGTAGAATTAAATCAATTCACTTAAGTATGAACCGGCACCCACCAAAAAAGCCAACACAGTCTTAGGCTGCATTAAAGGGGATAGAATCAAGATCATGTGAAGTGTTAGCATCACTTTATAATGCCTTGATAAGACCACACTTGGAATATTGTATCCAGTTTTGGTCACCAGAATATAAAAAAGATGTTGAGATTATATAAGGAGGGCAGAGAAGAGCAACAAAGATGATTAGGGGACTGGAGACTAAAACATGAAGAATGGTTGCAGGAATGGGGTATATATAGTCTAATGAAAAGAAGGACTAGGGGTGATATGATACCAGTATTCCAATATTTGAGGGGCTGCCATAAAGAAGGGGGGGGGGAAACCAACCTATTCTCCAAAGCACCTGAAGGTAGGACAAGAAGCAATGGATGGAAACTAATCAAAGAGAGAACCAAGCTAGAACCAACGAGAAATTTCCTGATGGCGCAATTAATCATTGCAATGGCTTGCCTCCAGAAGTTAACAGTGCTCCATCACTGGAGGTTTTTAAGACGAGATTGGACAGCTGTTTGTCTGAAATGGTACAAAGTGTTTTGCTTGAGCTGAGGGTTGGACTAGAAGATCTTCAAGGTCCATTTCAACTCTATTATCTGTTATATCTTACTCTACAATAAGTACATTTGGCAAATTTGAGAAACTTCATGCTTACAAATGTTGCCATTCATATCAATGAGTACCAATGAGGGAGAATATTTATAGCTCAGGGTTAAATGACTCCTTGGTACTCTCTGAGTTTGGCTGTTTTCAATCAAGCTCAGAGAGCACCAAGGATCCTTCATACCAATGAGTCAGATGTGTTTATTTTATTTATTACAAATGTTCTTATCCTGGTCATTCTGCTTTGAAGCACACTGGAACTCTATTTTTAACCAAGTGCCAAACAGGTGGACAGACTGATCAGTTTCATACAAATACTAGATCACTTCCTCCCCCCCCCATTGCTAATTTTACAGGAAGTCACACTGGATACAATATATTTGGATGCATGTGAATTGCTTTAGTTTGCATCAAAGCAAATAGATATTTCTCCATTTACCTTAAAGGTGAAGGCTTGTACAATCATAGCCACAAATAATTTAAACTAGGCGTCATATTCTAATTATTGGATTTATATATCCATACTATGGATGTACCACTGAGCTACAAAGTTTGCATTTTAGTTTTTGGATGTCTTCTCTTTTTAAACTTGCAATAATTAGTACATGCAGGGCTTTTTTTCTCATAGAACGCCCAGAATGGAGTTCCCGCACCTTTTTTTGGATGGAACCTTGTAGGGTAGGCAAGGTGGGTTGTATGACGTGTGTGAGTTCTGGCACCTTTTTTTTTTTTTTAGAAAAAACACTGAGTACATGTAAGTTGTAATATGCAAATTGTACATTGTAAGTTATAAATAACATGCAAAAGAAATTTGATATTGTAGTTCTGGAACAGTATTTCTCAACCTCAGCAGAGTTGAAGTCAAACATCTTAAACTTATTGAGGTTGAGAAACCCTGTTTTTAGAATGTATTTATAGAAGTAAATTCTATAGAAATGTCTTTTGAGTAATCGTGCTTAAAATCTGCAGTGTACAATGTATGCCACTGGTGTCAAATTCAATCGCGTCACGTGACGTATCGTGACGTATCATGATGTTTGTTGCCTTTGCGGAGCCGGGGTGGGCGTGGTCAGTCCGTGATGCATCCAGCCTGCGGGCCACCAGTTTGACACCCCCATTGTATACTGTGTTCCAGAAAATACCCCAAAATGGCTGTTGGCAGAATAAAATTATGGTTGGGAGCATGAATACTGTTCTCAATATTATTTAATCAGGAGTTAGACTAAAACAGAAAAAAATGAATGTGTGGTTTATGGTTTTGATGCTTAGACAGCATAGATTATATAAAAAAGAGAGTCATGATGTAATTTTAGAGAGGGAGGTTAGAATATATTTGTACTTATCACTGCTGTGAAGATCGGATGCTAATTCTTTATGTCTTTCTTGATGTCTTTTTCCACTTTCTACATTTCCTTTTAGATTTTTTTCCCCCTTTCTTTTTCTTCTTCTTTGTTCTATTTTACTTTGCATTATTGTTTGTTAAAATGTTCAATTAAAATTATATATAAACACACACAGTCACATATACGTATGACAAATACACAGACACGCACAATAATTTTCTCACCCATCTTTCTCACCCCTACAGTCTTCCTCAATCTCAGATCCTCTGCCGGAGGCCTGACAGTTTGAGGGTTCTGCACAGGATCTTAGCTGATCCTAGCACTGCACTGTTTTGGACAGAGAGCTTTGATGTTGTTCCTTAGATCAGAGGTCCCCAACCTTTCGGGAACCAGGGACGGGTTCCGTGGAGAGAGTTTTTTCTGCAGACCAGAGGGGGCGTGGTTTTGTGTGCTGCCTGCATCTCATGGATGGGGCTTTGCTTTTTTGTGCAGACCGGTTCCTGGCATGCTGCGGCCTGGTACTGGTCCACAGACCGGGGGTTGGGGGACCCCTGCCTTGGATGATATATATTATATATTATAATGTTATATATTTTTGAGTGTGTGTGAAGTAAATCAGGACTTTAGCTTTCTAGATAATATATTTTACAGGAAGTCTGCCAGAGGCATTCTTTCTGAAAAATCTTAATAAAAACCTGATTTAGAATTGCTGCTGTCAGATGAACTGGAATCATTGCTGGTGCTTTCAGATGCAGAGGAGCCATTGCTGCTGCTGCTGCCACTGCTGCTGCTTTCACTGAGTCGACTAGGCCTTCCGTAGATTTTTGACTCAGCAATTTTCCCAGCTGTAGACACAGAGAAGAACTGAAACTTAAAGGAGAACTTTGGGGAAAAAGTGCAGAGAAGAGCAACTAAGATGATTAAAGACCTGGAGATTAAAACATATGAAGAACAGGAATTGGGCATGGCTAGTCAAGAAAAAAGGAGGAGTTAGGGTGACATGCTAGCAGTTTTCCAGTATTTGAGGGGCTACCAAAGAAGAGGGGGGGGGTCAATTTATTTTCCAGAGCACTAGAGGGCAGGACAAGAAACAATGGTTGGAAACTAATCAAGGAGAGCAGCAACCTGGAATTAAGGAAACTTCCTAACAGCGAGAACAATTAACCAGTGGAACAGCTCCATAGAAATTATGGAGGTTTTTAAGAAGAGACTGGACAGCCATCTATCTGAAATGATATAGGATTTCCTGCTGGAGCAGGGGATTGGACTAGAAGACCTCCAAGGTCCCTTCCAGGTCTATTCTGATTACTAAAGCTGCTGTGTTGGGCATCAGTGAGAAAAAAGCAACGTTTAAGCAAAAGTAGCTGATGTAGATTTAACTGGCACTATTAAGTTAATAATGTTTGCCATAGGACAGAACACCAATTCCTATGGCATATTCCAGAAGAGTGTATTCCTGGATAAAGCACAAGCAGATTATGGCAGTGTTTCTCCCCTTCAAGATCCCGGTGCCATTTCTTTCATGAGGGTAGGGGTTTCACTTACATTTTGCATTTTGCTTCACTGAACAGAGCAGCCCACTGACATTCAGCAACCTCTGATCTTGTGGCTTCTCTACAGTAAATTGGTCTTTGGGTTTTTTTGCTAGATACAAAGGGAAGAGTATAGAAGTCAGGAACAACATCCAAGCAATTATCTGGGGGGGGGAGGGAACCCCATACAATTTCCCCTCTCTTTTTAGGCATATGTTGTTGTATAACACACCATAATGTTTCTTGGGCCTTTTTCTCAAGCATGCCATGACATATTTCTCCAGTGCCCGTAAAGTTGATGCTTTGAGAGCTTCAAAATCTATTTCAATTTCATCAAGATTTGAATGCCTCAGTGATGTCTCTCTTGACTGAATAATATATACCACTCTGCCAAGCTTCTCCCCTGGGAGTTTATTTATGTCCAGGCTTAATTGCCTCTTTTCATCATAACTCATTGGCTTGGCAGTATCCTCATCCTCAGCCTTGGGTCCTGCAAGTTCTTCTTGCTGCTGGATTTTCTTGGAATGACTGCAGGAGAGAGAATAAACAATCATTAACTCTGGGACCAGCAGCTTGAAGTACAAATCCATGCCAACCAGCAGCAGGCTTACAGGTTCAAAGACATTCTTCTCTTCAGCTGTTTCATTTGCTTTATCTTTCTGCTTTTCTGAGTCGCAGGCTTGATTTTTACTTTGCCTTTTCTTTTTTCCTTCTTAGATTTTCCTTTCTTTTTCTTCTTCTTTAATCTGGGCCCGGTTGTTTTAGCCAAAGCTTGCAATTGCTGGTGAACAGCTTTAAGCTAGAGAGAGAGGAACACAGAGAGGAACATGAAAAAATATCTGATTTGTTGAAAGTTGCAGTGTTCTGTGAACATGAGCAATTAGTGAAACAACTTACACTGTACCGAAGGTGCTTTTTCAAAGGGCAACTGGACTTGGTTTTTCCTTGAAGACATTTTGCTTCTCATTCAAGAAGCTTCTTCTGTTCCTGAAGTTCCTTCATCAACTGAAGAGGCTTTCTGGATGAAAAGTGAAATGTCTTCAAGGAAAAACCAAGTCCAGTTGCCCTTTGAAAAAGCACCTTTGGGACAATCATGACCTGGATGACTGAGAATCTCCATAGAAACTTACACTGTACAAATATAAGGGGAACACAAGTGTGTTGAAGATTTACACTACAGATAATTACATTGCAGGTAATCTTAATTTAAGATCTGCTGATTCAGTGACCATTCAAAGTCCTGACAGCGCTGAACAAAGGATACCTAGGACCAGTCCTCGTAATTACAGTGTCCCCATGGTCATGCGGTCGCAATTTGAGCACTTGGCAACTGGCTTGCAATTACATCATAGTGTCCCACAGTCGTGTGATTGCCATTGACTTTCACTCCTTCCTCTCCTGCTTTCTAGCCTGGTGTGTTAGCCACAGACCAAATTGTTCCACTTAGGAAAGTGAGAGAATTTTTACTTGTGAGTAAAAGGCAAAAAGAGAGCACATAAGGCTTCATTTTAACTACGTTCCTTGTTGTTATGGCTGCATGCAACTTCGATTCAAATGAAGTTGGCAAGAGACCAGATCAGGATTGGCAGAGCCAACGAGCTGCCAAGGAACTGGTTGGTTTTAGATAGCAACAAGACTCAAAAATTGAAGTTATGAGTAAGTAAGTAAGTTTTCTTGCATAGCAACTGAGCTTGAACACTATTGCATTGTCTTTTTAAGGATTGGCTTACATAAGGAAAAGGCTGAGTAAGCCTCCAGAGACCAAGGTTCAAGCTTTTTGAGTTCAATAGTTATGCCAGTCAATTCTTGTACCTGAAAAAAGCTGGTTGTGTATCTGCAGGCTTACTCTTTTAAGCAAGCAATAAAGTAGAGCTGTTCTCAACCTTTGCTTCTGAATGCAGGAATGCAAATCTGTATTGCCTGTTCATATCTCAAAGTGACTTGGGCCTTATTGGTTATAAAGTAGTGAGAGGCATTGCTGGTGGAACATTGATAGTAAACCTGGTTAAAGGGGTTTCAGTAGGGAGTAGATAAGAAACTGTTAGGATCTTATGGCTGAGAATTTCCGCCCCTTTGGGTAAAGTTTCTTAAATTTGGGACTAGGCATTGTGGAAAAAAAACACCAGGATTATTCAAAAGAGCCATAGACTTAAAATGGAATGCTAGCAGGAAAATTTAAAAAGAATCAGGACGGCTAGTGGGTATTTTCTTCAAATTATTCCTCTTATTCGCTTCCCTAGCCTGCAGTCCAAGGATACCGAAATCCCATAAAGCACGGTCTAAATCTTTTATCCCTTTGCTTCCCCGTCCTAGTTTTTCTCTTAGACAGTAATATTTAGGAACTAACATGGTTTCTATGAACAAACAGATGGTATAGGGGAGGGGAAATATGGCTCTTGTTTAGCTGGAGAGCAATTTCAAGTATTACAAAACATGTATAGACTTTTTTTAAAGTGAAAAATGTGACATCTTGCTCGAGAAAAATATCCAAAGTGCTGCCAAGGGGAAGAGCAGGTATGAAAGCAGACAGAGGTTTGTTTCAGTATCTACAGAATTTTCTGTCTTGGCACCCTCCTCCTAATTATGTCTCCTTGCCAGCATGAAAGGTTAGCAGAGAACATAATTGTTTATTAATAAATATTTCAGCTGGAATGAGCCCAAGTAAATCATTTTTAAAAGCACCCCTTTTGTCTTCCTCCCATGTGTTGGTGTACAAATAAGGTTCTGAAAATAGCAAGGAAAATGACCTTGATGGAGGTGGGAAACAAACCTTAAGTCCACAATGGTCACCTTCCTAATTCACAGGAGTACAAGAAGGGACTTCCAACTTACTATAGCCACTCTGAGTAAAAGTAGATTTTAGTCTTCCTTTAGGGTAGATCTTCCGCTCTTGTATACCTGGTTTAGGCTGAAGGCACTTACCATTCATGAGGATCAAGTAAGCAAAGCTGTAGTATAATGAGTGAACCAGCACTAGTTACATCTTTTTGACTTTTTTTTTAAACTCATGCTATACATGATTACGCAATACACTAGTGACTAGATTGTATTGTGAAATTACATAAGAAATGTACAATTTTTTTTTTCTCACAAAGTGGAAATGCAAATACTGCATCCAGTTTTGGTCACCACGATGTAAAAAAGACGTTGAGACTCTAGAAAGAGTACAGAGAAGAGCAACAAAGATGATTAGGGGACTGAAGGTTAAAACATACAAGGAACAGTTGCTGGAATTGGGTACGTCTAGTTTAATGAAGAGAAGGACGAGGGGGGACATGATAGCAGTGTTCCAATATCTCAGGGGCTGCCATAAAGAAGAGGGAGTCAAGTATTCTCCAAAGCACCTGAAGGCAGGACAAGAAGCAACGGATGGAAACTAACCAAAGAGAGAAACAACATAGAACTAAGGAGAAATTTCTTGACAGTGAGAACAATTAATCAGTGGAACCACCTGCCTCCAGAAGCGGTGAATTTCCAACACTGGAAGTTTTTAAGACGAGACTGGACAGCCATTTGTCTGAAATACTATAGGGTTTCCTGCCTGAGCAGGGGGTTGGAGTAGATGACCTCCAAGGTCCCTTCCAACATCATCATCATCATCATCATTTAGAAATGCCTTGTTTTCTATAATAAGACAACTATTAATATAACCAAAACTCTGGTTAATTTCTTATTTCCTACTAGCTGTGTCCAATAAGGAATTGATTTCAATACTGTTCTTTTTCCCTTCTTACACATTTTGTCTCTTACGCCACAAATGATCACATCCTTTGCACTAACCACAAATAACAGCAAAATATAGCCATGTAGAACAGTAGAAAGAATGTATAAATGTATATAATTGTGTTAGAGATATTGGATAGGGAATCATATATTAACTAATCCAGATCTCCAAAAAAGAGACTTATTAAATACTTATTTCAAATTGTAAACACACACAAACACACAAAAATTAATTAACACAATATTGTATAAACGTAATTATAACAATAACAGTTCAAACAAAGAGACTCAATCCACATCACCTGATTTAATCAACCTCTTCTCCAGGGTCAACATGTACACACATATCTACCCCCCCCTCAAGTGTCACACACTAGAACCAGTATGCCCCTCACCCCCCACACCAAGGACCAGTCCCTCTATAAAACAATCTCTCTGTACCCCATTTTCTCTGTAGCTGCCTCCATAGGCAAATCGCTGTGCTTTGGGGAATAAATAATTCTCCTTTTCTCACAGCTGTCTGGATTTCATTTTTATATATTCGTGCACAACCCCGCACATTCTTCTTCTGACAGAACCATGTACAGAGCCACTTACTTGTTCTTGGAGCTCTTCAAGGCGTTTCGCTTGTTCTTTTTCAGTCTCTTCATCAGATGAGATGTTAGGGCTGCTATCAGTAGATACAGAAGTGGGGCTTCTTGTGGTGGAATGCAGCAGAGGCCTACCAGTAAGTGGTTCATCTGGAATTCTGGCAAACAGCATCTCAAAGACATCCTTCACAGAAAAAAGTTAGCTAGCTTTAAAAACCTTCTCCAGAGCCAAAAGGCTTCTGCAATCTGGGACTTTTAATCCAAAGTGCTCTGTTGCACTAGCAACAAAAAATAAGCAAAATTCAGGGGCAGCCTCTGACATACAATAAAGAACGGAGGACATAGATGTACTAAAAGCAGTCAGAGAAGAGATATGTATGTGTAGTGAGTAGCTTGCCCTTCATCTACAAGTTGACCTGCCCATTCTTGGCTGCAATGGACAATTTTGCACTATCACCAGTATAGATATTCAATTTAAAATTGCCAGTTTGGGCAGGTTCATTTAAAGGGAACTCAAAGGGTAACTTATTCTTTATTTCAGCCAGCAACACATCTTCAGCTGTGTACTATGTTGCACATTAACACTTACTGTAATTTCACTGGGATCGCAGAAATGTATTTTGTTTCCCATTGTTAAAACTCACCTGAAGTTTTCTTGCCATTGACACTATTTCATGATCTGGAGAATGGTATCTGTAGTAATTCATAAACATTAGCCTAATATCAGCAGCAAATTCTTGTGTGTCTTTATATTCACAATTGTCCAGTTTCTTCTGTGAAAAATAGAAAAATTCCTTCAGCCAGGTATCTTATAGCAATATAGAGATCTCAGTGCTCTGAATGAGAATACCAAGTAAGCAAAATCACACGAAGTGTCAAGTTTTACGGTCGTCAGTGTTAAGGTATATGGTTCTGTATCTTCACACTTACAACACATCTTATGTTCCCAAATATGGAATAATACTAATACTACTACTACTAATAATAATAACCCTAACCCTAATTCTAACCCAGTTCCACACCACTATTGCAGCAATAGTTGGAAACACCTTTGGATTACCTATTATATATCTTCTTACATCATGCTTTTCTCCTATCATTCTTTTTCAAATTCATCTTTTATCAGACCTTCACTTTCACAGGATCTGTACCAAAGCCTTTTGTTTCTGAGCCAGTACTGTATTACTGGATGTTTTATTTTAGTTTATACAAAGACAATGCAATTAATAATTACAATGGCATCACCTCTTATATGACAATACTTTAATTCAAACCAGGTTGAGACGTTCTCTCAAGTCTCATGAATTTTGTTGGATGTCAGATATTAAAAGAAATGACAGATTGACTTGAATGCAGAAAAGGGATATCTGAATATTACCTGACACAGATTTTAAAACGACATAATATACAGGTAGTCCTTTACTTATGATAGTATCTGAGCCCCGAATTACAGTCATAAGTTGTGCTGCTTGTGGTTGTATTAAAGTTTATGAGCATTTTTGTAGCGGTGGTGAAGTGAACGCTGAAGTCATAAACTGAATGTATGGTTGTTAAGTGAACCCCATTGTCAACAATGGCCATTTTGCCGAAAAGCAGAACCCAGCACTGGTTTCTGGCAACAAATGTAATCACAGTCATGTGACCACAGGACACTGGCAAATGGCTGTAAATATAGGTTGGTTGCCAAGCAACCAAAATGTGATCATATGACTGCAGGGGGGGGGCTGCCATTGGAACTTCAAATCTTGATTGTAAGTACCTTATTTAGTTCTATCATAAGTTTGACTGGTTGCTAAACAACTGGTCAAGTCGAGGACTACCTATATAGAGCAATTAACTTCATCTATGATGCCAAACCCTCTTACTTTAATAGTTCCAAGATCCATAGGAGATTTAATAATATTCTGATATTCTTCAGGGTCTAAGGCAGTGATGTCTATTGGCTTATAAAATGGCCAAGCATAGGCAGCATGCTGGTTTGACATCAATTCTATAAGAATTTCATTACAGTATTCCAATGGTTCCATTAGCTCTGTAATTTCTATGGGTTCAGTTGGCTGCCACGAATCAGGTAAGGCTCTTTCAGACAGGAATTCTTCTCTAGTGGAGACCTTGGTTATTTTGGGTTCAAGGAGTGCTGGAGAAGATTCGCTGCTTGCGGTGATGGTTGTCGTAGTGGTATCAGCTTTCCTTTTTACACCCTTTTCGGCACAGGAACATGGCTTATTAAAGAGAGAATTGTACATTTAAAATGTGGTTTAAGATCCTTGGAATAAAACAGTCAAAATTTAATTGTAATACTCAGGTAGCTAATTAAAAAAAATCCTCCTTTCCCCTCAGATCCTATGAGAGACTTATGAATATTTTAGTTGAATCCCCTATTTTTTGCCAAAATAAAATAAAAATAAAAATATATCTGAAAAATAAAAATATACTTTTTCAAAATGTTAAGATTTATAACTACTCTTTGGCCTAAACACTACACTGAACCATCATTTCAGAGAGGAAGAGAGTAAGGAGAAAGAGACAAAAGAGAGAAAATGAGTAAATGAATGGGTATAACATTTCCTCATTGTATACTATTGAATATTTTCATTTTACATTTTTACTGGACATATACTCCTTTTACCTCTAAAAGACCAGCTACTTCAAGCAGTGAGTGCTTATCTAAAACAATATTTTTCAAGGTGATGCCCTCTAGATTAGGCATGTCCAGCCCACAGCCTGCAGGCTATATAAGAGCCTAGATAATTAGTAATGTGGCCCCAAAATTTTTATATTTTTATACATATATATATACACACACATACATACATAAAAGGAAGCTTTTTATTAATATTTATTAACTAGATTATATATATTTATATGCAGCCCAAAATAATTCCTCTTCACTCAATGAGGCCCAAGCAAGCCAAAAGTTTGGATAACAATCCTCTAAATCAATTTGAGTCCAGTTCTTATCAGGTGATTCCATACCTTGGCCATTTCTACTCTCCATTTCCTAAACAAGAAATGTGCAATCAGCCTCACAGCTCCTAACTACTGAAACATAAAGAACTATAGATATTTTTTTGTCTTACTTTGGTAACCGCTTCAGATGTTGGTGTGACACTCGGAAAAGGAGGCACAGGGGAAGGCTCTGGAGATTGCAATTGTGGGGTTGCTGTTTTTATTTGGAACTGCTTGACTTTTCTGGATTTTTTTGTCTGCTGAGTTTGTGATTTTTTTGCATCAGATTGTTCAGCAGCTAAGAAAACAAAGTGATGGTATGTTAGTGAAGGGCTCCTGGTAGCATTCACACATAAAAAGACTAGACTCTCCATTGCGATTCTTTCCCCACTGTCATAGCCTACAAGACTATACCATCTTATACAATAACTATGATTTAAACTATAGCATTCATATATAATCATGGCACTTTCCTTTACTTCAGCTTGAAGAAGACAAGACCCGAGTGCTATAGACTCCAATAGAATATAACTGTGGATATTTAATATCTATATGACTGAAACAAGAAACACCATTTGGGTGGTTGGCTCCTAAAATGATGATGTTTCTACCAACAATCTATTAGTATCTAAAGAATGGCACATTAATAGAAGATAATTACCATGGCTAATTTGAATGCATATGATTAATAAGTACCAAAGATGAGTTATATGTTACAAAATGTTAGCAACTAAGTCATGATGTGCAGCTTTACTATGCATGGTATAAGGCGATGGGAGAAACCTATGAGAAAGAATTACCAGAGTGAGTTCATGTCAAGAATTAGCAATTGAGACTCTAATTCCAAAAAAACCTTTGGAACAATAAATAAGTCAGACTTTGGACAAAAATAACCTGGTCTCCCTTTAAGAGCTTAGTGTGTAAGGAAGAAGAGAGAAAGGAAAAATCAGTTTGACAGAAAGAGAAGAAGAAAGTAACGGTAGTAACCAAGGAGTATATGAAAAGCATGGTGTATTCAATTAATACTGTACAGAATTATGCTCAAGAGATGGAACCAATCCACTCTTTTACTTTAATCCTTTTTAATAACAAAATGATTTAAAGACATTCTTATGAACGACACCGTTGTATTTTTAGCAGTAAATATACAGGCTCAGTGTTTAATTTTTATTTATAATCAGGTGGCTTAAAAGTAGGATACATTTCGCTGCCCTTTCCTCCATAGGTATATGGTTGCCAATCTCACTTTCCTGGGTTTTCTCGAATTTCAACTTGAAAAGTGCAATCTTCATCATCCTTCAGTAATTCAGCAAAAACTACTAACACCGAATACCAAACTGTCTACAGTCATTGTATACTTCCCCCCCACCCCCAACCAACTGCATTTTGAGAGGCTTCTGTCCAACTATTAAGACTTTACAGAAACACTTCAAAAGCAATATAATCTGTTTAGAGATATCAAGTCAAGCATTTCTTACCATTTGTCTTTCCTTCCCCTTTTTTCCCTTTATTGATCACCACTATTTTCTCATCTGGGGGCATCTGGGCAACCTTCTGCAGAAATACTTTTTCGAGCTCTTGGGCCATGAAAACAATGTCATCACCAGGCTGCAAGATAAATGCGGGAGCCTATTACCGTCCAAGATAAATTTGCTCACAAAGCTGCTAGATCAGCAGGAGAATCACCTTTGACATAAGATTGCTTGGAAAGGAACAGTAAAGTGAGATTTACAACTGTTTAATTCATTTTGTTCCCCTATTGCCCCAGCCTTAACCTTAACAACTTTTCTTGTAGATAATGTCTCAAATTTATAGATTTAGGGTTTTCATCTCTCTTTCCACTATACCACTCATGTGATCAGGAAGCCCTCAATTCTCAGAATGTGTAAGAAAATGTTCTTTATACTAAAAGTTGAACTTTTTAGAAATCACTCGGGACTATTGGTATTTTTGAAATGGAGGTTTTATTTACACATTTGAACATAAGAATCTCTGACACCAGGCTAAGAGCAATGAAATCATACCCATCCAGATGCTGATATAATTGACAGAAATTGGTGGAAAGAGATAGAAGGGCAAATCATTAGGCCAGTGATGCGAACCTTTTAGAGACCAAGTGCCCAAACTGCAACCCAAAACCCACTTATGCATCGTCGGGTGCCGGGTCGGTGTGGCCATTGGCTGGGTGTGGCCCATTGGCTGGGTGTGGCCCATTGGGTGGGCATGGCTGTGGTGGTAACGGCAGACTGGGTGGGACTAAAAAGTTCAATCAATCAATTCCAACTTTGCAAGATCTTTTTGTTTTCCTGCAAGAAGTTGAAATTGACTGATTGCTTGAACCTTTTTTTTTCCTGCACATGGCAGCAGAGGCCTAAAGTGAAAAGGTTTTATAAAACCCAGCTGAAGGCCTAGGACTGGGGCGACGGCACGTGTGCCCACAGAGAGGGCTCTGAGTGCCGCCTCTGGCACCCGTGCCATAGGTTCGCCACCACTGCATTAGGCAATCTCATGTAGCTTCTGCAAATGCTCCCTTCAGGCAAAATGCACATGTTTTCTTTGTGAGTGGGTGTGATAGAAAAATAAAACAATAAATAAATAATAAACAAAATAAATAAAATAGTTAATAGTCAAGTGGAAAACTAACTAGGAAAAAAAGAAAGGGCCTGTTTATAGCTTCCATTTTCACCAATCCCTTATGGCAATGGGTGGTGTTGAAGAAACCCAAATACAGATAGTCTTCCTTTAGCAACTGCAGTTGGGACTAGCAACTCAATTGTTAAACGAAGCAGTCACTAAGTGAAACTGGGACTGGGCTTAAGATCTTGGTTCAGCTTTTCTTTGCTTTACAGACGTATAAAGGCTGTAAATGTGAGGGTTGGTCACAAGGTTACGTTTCGTCATCATTGCAACTAAGAACAGTTGCTAAACAAAGCAGGCACTAAATAAGGACTAACTGTAGTGCAGCCAAAAGCTTGTCAAAAATATTTATATTTATAGATATGGTCATCCATTGTAGATACCTTATTATATAAATAGCAGTTTGCAAACATTTTCTTGAAGTTGTCAATACATTCTGCAGCACACGTGTAGTATTGATGTTCCAGACGTTTCTGAATTGTGGTCAAGTCCATGGGTTCTTTTACAATATTATAATAATCCTGTATGTTTTAAAAAGAAATAAGAAGCAGAGAGGGAAAACAACAACATATGAGGATTGTAGATTTAAGAAGCATAATTTGTAAGTCCAAGATATACATAAGTGACATGAATATGGGAAGATTGAGAACGATTTCTCATGTGAAAAATATCACTGCCTGCAATATCTTTAACATAAAAGGGTAAATCAACCAAGCTCCAACTTAAATCTAAATCATTAGTAAATACATGGATTAAGAAATATTACTTTTATAAAAGGAAAATTCAAGTAACAGCCCTCAAAACAAGGTAATGGAATAATGAATAATGTTGGATTCCTAGTAAGTAGTAGAATATGAAAGAAGGAAAATGTAAATAAGAAACAATGGGGCAATAAGGACAAATATTTCAAAGAAGAAAGAGGGGGGAAATGTAAAGAATAGAAGAGTACTGTTACTAACTGCTGTTAACAAAAAAGGATATATTATGTTGTAATGTATGTTTTGTTTTGTTTTGTTGGTCTAAAATAAAAAAAAAGAAAAAAAACGAAAAAAAACAAGGTAATGGAGAACTATCATACTGGGACTAAGAGAATAGCAACTTACCAACATCTGGTAAGATAAAAGTGATGTTTGAACCAGAGAATTTCACTAGTCTCTTTTCCCGATTTTAAATGATTTTTAAAGATTTTTAAAATATTTTTTTTATTTCAAACAGCTGTTAAATGATCAATGATAAGTCGAAGATTACCTGTACTTGAATTCCATCAAAGAGTAATTTCACAATAAGCAGCACTGTGTATACAAAAGATTCTCAGACTGTAATCATGGTCAGCTCATACCTCACTTGTGATCGAACAGCAAAGGAGCAGTATCACTGTGAGTCTCATTTTAGTGATGTTTAAGTGTATCCTGAGTTTTGGGAAATTATAGATTTCTAGGGATTATTAGTGTAGAAGGTAGACAGCAGGTAAAAAGTAGGTTAACACCCCCCCCCCAAGTTCCAATTGTTCTTTTAAGTTTTCTTAAAGGCCCATAGACAAAGGTCTGCCACAGTGGACAAGTCAAGATTGATGGTGTAATAGTTTTACATGCAGAAAAAAAATTATTTTAAGTGTCTGTCTGAGAAATGCAAACAGGCAGAACAGGCCCAGTGGTAACTTCCAACCCTAAATTGTTATATTAAGCTCAAGTGACAAGTTTCTCTAGAGGTCCAACACCAGATATGCAAGGTTGCAGTCACTTTGAAAGAAGAAGATAAACTGACAAGTTGAGTTTGTCAGAAATCAAAAATGGACATGTGTCTGAGGGATTTAGCCTTTACTGGAAAAAAACCCCACAAAGACCTAGAAACATTTGTAAAGGCCCAAAGGTCCAGATGTATTATGGCACAACTAAGAACAGACAAGAGATGAAGGCCTGAATATAGACAAACTTCAGAACCAGTTATTAGTAGCAGGGGTGACCCATCTATATGGATGAACTAAGTGGCTGCCACATTATGTAGGGCACATTTCAAGAAAAAAAAATCAAATTTAAAAATTACATGTATGGACTCGGAGTATTAATTATGTAGCTCACCTAGGGTGCTGATTTTTGTTACTAGTCAAAGCTATTACTAATTACTATGCAGCATAATGCCCATAAAGAAGAAAGAGAAGCTTTATTTGATGATTGGAAGGAACATTTTATTAAATTGCCTTGGTCAGATCATGTTTGGATCCCCAGCTGTGACTGCTAGGCATCTATATCCTATTTGGGTGGCTTTATTGTTAGCCACCAACAGCCTATTTCAGGTGTCTTCAAACTTGGCCCTTTTATGACTTGTGGACCTCAACTCCCAGAATTCCTCAGCCAGGCACGCTGGCTGAGGAATTCTGGGAGTTGAAGTCCACAAATCATAAAAGGGCCAAGTTTGAAGACCCCTGGCCTATTTGGATGATCCACCCCAGGCGCCTAATGGATCTCATTGTTTTCAAAGAGCGCTCAGAGAAATCACCAGCTCTCTGGCAGAAAGTACTGTTCAGTGCCCGATGAACTGGCAACAGGAGGTATTGAACATTGTTGCCCCTGAGGGGATGATCCCAAATTTTGCCTCAGTTTACCGAAGCCCTCTGGTAAATAAAATGACACCTGGAGCACTGGTGGAGAAAGACAAGAAACAAATTTGATCAAGCATGGTAGGTGTCCCTGTTTGGAATTATGGTGTGGTGATAAGGAGGCAAACTGTGCCTACTTCTACTTCCCTATTGTGTTGGAGAGCTGTCTTCCAATGGCATTGTTCAGAGTTAGCAACTCGTTATTGGGAAGGAGAAAGATTTGAAATCTCTTACCTCATGATAGCAAAAGTAAAAAAAAGTAAAATAAAGTACAATTAAACCTATGTTGCTTGACCCTCAGTGACCAATTTGCACAGCATTGTGCTGACAAAATTACTCAGATTCACTATAGGCCCCTTAATCTCAGCACACAGACAGACTCAACCATAGTTTCAACTGGGAAACTGAGAATCCTAGACCAAGCTAAATAAATACAAAATCTCTAGAGAATTCCTGGAAGTTTGGCACTCAGATATGCCAGCCACATAGACACATAGAGATAAACCACGTTTACACAGTATTCAAAAGAGACAATAAAAAAAGCTAAGGAGAAAACAAAAAGATCAGGACACATCCCATCCAGCAGCCTACAATCAGCTGAACAGGGATTAATACCAGACTAACAACCAAGCAGAAAACAATGTCCTAATCAAGGAACTACCAAGGAGACAAACAGTCAAGCAGACAATCAAACAGAAAACAATACTCTAATCAAAGGACTACCAAGGAGAAAACCACACCCTCACCAACACTGCAGGGCAAGCTATAAACAGAGAACAAACCCCACACCAGTGATGGGATTCAGCCAGTTCGCACCACTTCAGCAGAACTGGTAGCTAATTTTTTGTTGCCCAGGCTCAGAATGGACTTCTGAAAGCAGCATCCACACAGAGAACCGATTGTTCACATATTTGAATCCCACCATTGTCCTATACCCACTAGCACTGATATTACCTAATTGGTATATCTGCAAGCAAACAACCAAGCACAGAGAGTACCAAGGACTCCACAGTTCAGTGATGAGCTACAGATATTGTCTTCTGTTAGTACCTTTGTATACATTCCTACCTTTTCATACAAAATAAATGAACTTTTAAAAAGGAGATTTAGGTCATATACAACAGAGTTACGTTTGATTGGATTGAAGACAGTCAAAGAATAAAACATTACAGCTGGTTGAATGCCACATATTTGTAGTGGCGTTTTGCTTGTGCTTCTCATAGCCATGAAAATTTTATATTAAAATTCCGTTAGCAACAAGTTTTAAAAGTGGTACTGTTTTAGGACACATTGTAAAATTATATTAGACATAGGTCTAAGTTTTTTATACTTGAAAGGGGGACCCTAGCTCTCAGACGATGCTGAATTATAATTTCCAGCATTGTTCAGCATTGGCTATACTGTACTGCTGAGTGGCCCAGTTCAGAAATATCTGGAAAAAGACAAACTTTCATCCTTGGCTTATGTCCTTTTATCATGGCTAATTGTATAACATTTGTTTCAGTATGACACTCATCCTTCAGTATTCAGTAGAGTTAAATGCTGCAGTACTAAGCAGGTTATGTCTTGAAATAGAATGGGGTACCTACTTCAACCATTACAATGCTAGGGAAAAGCAGCTAAAGAAGGATGTAAGTTAACATATGGCCTGTGTTGCATTGCATCTCTTTAGCAAATGATTGCCCTTGACTAGCAAGGACGTCTTTGTCATCCAGTTTGAAGTAAAAATAAACTTTCTATTGAAGTCCTACACAGATTCAGATTAGGTTAGCCGTGTGCAGAATGTACAGCAATCTATTTATATTTGCTGATTTATACAGTTATACACTACTTTCTGCTGTTGTTACAAGTCTTAACCTTTTAAAAGCAGCATCTTATAAGCTTTCATTTCGGCTTGGAATAAGAGAATTTGCCATAGATGAGACCAGTGTGCTTGTATTACCAATATTTCTTAATGATTAACTTTATATGAAACTACATTGTTTTTCTGTACACATACAAATTACTGGAAATTCTTACTGGAAGTTTTAGACCTTCAGCATCTACAGGCTGATGAAATGGCCAAGAAAAGTTGTGTCTCCACATTGCTTTCATGACCACTCTCTGTAAATATTGAAGTTGATTGGTTAAGCAGCCAGTTCCTTCAGTATTGATGTGATCTGGAGGAGGAGGGTTGACAATTGTCACATGATGTGGATTTGAAGCAGCCATCTTTATTCCTAATGACTTTCTGATGTCAGATAGGTTCTCTTCCTCCATCTCCTTTAGACAATCTGTAAAGAAAAAGATTTCCAAGAAACCAGTTGATTCATTGCTCTGTATCTCACTGATTTATTGGTTAGGCCACATAACAGCTTTTAAGAGACTAAAAACAAATCACAAGGCATAATTTAAGAAGATACATGACATCTATCTATGATCCATTGTTGTCTCTGAACTCAATAAACTATATCCTAGTATATAGAATGGATCCAGATATAGTAGTTTTAAATAAGAGCTTAGGGTTCAGATAACGTTTGTATCAGTTAGCCATTGATATTGAAACTCTACTAAAACCTGCTTACCAGACAGACTTAAACTGAACGTACAATACTGAGGATTCAAATATTTTAGGAACTGTTTAATGTAACTTTGAAAAATCTCTTTAACCTTAAAGAAGCCAACCCCCCCCCTTAAATCCCCACACTGACAAAGTGATATAGGAGATGGCTGAGCCTGAGGGAGGGGTTAAACATGATATCAGTCATGAGTCCCTGTGCACCCACAAAAGATCTAAGCCCAGCCCACTTTGAATTCCTTCTACCCATCTCCTGTCCATTTCTGTTGAACATTAGTAGTTCAGATACTTGTAGAGAGCTTAAGCTTGCAATAAATCTTTATATGCATTTGAACTGCCTGGATCTCCTGATTTCCCTGTGGTTGACATTTATTAATGGATAAATAATCTCTTAAAGAAAGAGCAAGCATCTTGTTGGATATGTAAGAACTCCAGGCTCCTGAGCAACTAGGGGAGATTTTACCTACTGGACAGGAAACACTTTGTATGGACCTAAATTACTTTTATTGTAATACCTCAGACGTTATGCTATAAGCCAATTTCCATGATGTGGAATACAGAGTTTATGTAGGCATCCTTGCTAAGTTGAAGTAGATTTGTCATTCTTCTGAAGCTCCCAACTGTCCTCTCAACTGCCATAGAATTTTCTATGCTAGGAAGCTTGATCAAACTATGTATTTGCTCTACCTAAAGAGATCTCTCTGCCATCCAGCTAAAATTCATTATACTACCAGCTGTAAAAGACATTCTTTATCACTTCTTGGTGTTTTGGCTAAGATTAAGTGCAGATATTCTTCCAAAAATGTTTTGATATTCAGGTTGGGGGAAATGGGCACTGAAGTGGAAGATATAGATTGCTATAGACAAATATGTGATACACCGAAGGCAAAATAATTCAGAATTTTCAGATATATATTAATAGGCATGGATTTTGCAGTAACTAATCAAGAAATGGCTCTTGGCATTATATGCAGTACAGCTCAGTAAAAATATCATTGAGACAGCAATGTATATAAATGCAAAATCAATAAAAATATGTTGCAGATTATATGGATAATTCAGATCCTGTATTTGGAATTCTTTAATAAAGCAGTCAAAAGCACTACTGCCAATACTATAATTGTCTTTATATAACTCTTATGGTTCAATTCTGGTCATATGTCATATATATTTGGAAGAGGTCCAAATCTGGAAACTAAAATATGTAGGTTAGAACAAACTCATATAATGAAAAGTTACAGTTTGGGCCTTTTTACTTAGAAAAAAGGACGGAGAGATGTATGATAGCAGATATGTTGAAAAAAAGTACATTTAACGCGTCATGAAGATGGTAAAGCTTAGCTGAATATGACTGACCTCTAGAAAAAACAAATCAGGATTAGACTGACTGGGATGATCATCAAAAAGAAGACAAGACAAACCATTTTTAAATGATTGCTAAGAAAGCAATGTGGATGTTTCCGGAACAATCTCTAAGAATCAGTCTCAACTTGAGGAATCTTCATCTTTTCTTCAACCTTAAATTTAATACGTGTCATTCAAGACAGAGAAAGTACTCTACTAGGATACCCTTCTCGAATAATAAAGCTACAACACTAGGCAAGACTCTATTGGGAAGGTAACCAAAGCCATACATTGAATGAATACATTTTATTAAGTACTATGATTAATTCAACATATTGTGCTAACCATAACCATGATTAGCATTCAGCTACATGATAACTTCCAATTGTTAGGCACAAGGATACATATAATGGGTGCAGCTATTCCCCTATGATTATGTATGTTGTGTAAATTTGGAAGATCCACCATTTCAAATTGGTACTAACCCCAATTATAAAGCCAACTTGCCATTATAAGGACATGTATTTTCTCTTTAGTCTTATGTTTATCCAAGCAAACACTGTATTAAGTCATGGTTTGCTGAATAAACCACAGGTTAAGTGATTCAGACAACATGGCAAGCCAAAATCAAGCCACAGATTTGAGGAAAGCATGAGGTCACTCAATGGATGAGAATAGCATGAAACTGTTCCCAACTAGTATTCCACTGTAGTAATCTAAGCCCGAGGTAAGTAGAGCAGTAGAATTAAAAGCAACTTCAATTTTTCAACAAAATAGAGGTTTTGTCAGCTAATTAACACTATCAGCCATTCAGATATGGATTCAAAGCCTAACCTGAGCCCACATTCAGCAAGTACAAAGGAGAACCAAAGCACCAGGAGGAAAAATTGAGCTCATAATTATGTGAGGATTAAAAGGTACTAAGAAACTTAAATCAAATTAAATCAAAGCAAACTGTTAATGAAGATACTAAAACACTAAGGGATATAGGTTAAACTCAGAGATTGTAATCAGGAAATTCTTATTTATCGGACTTTGTGTAATAAAGCTACCAGTAATAGCTCAGGCATGGATATTGCTTGGATAAACAAAGTGGCTGTCATTCAAATTAAAGGCAAAGATGCTGAATCAATCATCAAAATGACACTAGTCCTATCTTAAAATATCAGCTCCCCTCTCCTCCTATTTTATACCATAATGGCCTTCACTTACAATTATTAGTGGAACATATTTAGCCAATTAAATATAGTTACCTTCCAGTTATTGGACTACAATTCCCATTAGTCCTAATCAGCTTGGCCAGAAGTACTCCATCCAGGGGCTAAAGAGGCCCAACCTTATTGAATCGAGTGCAAACAAAATTGATCAGGTAGCATCACCTGCTGAGACAGCTGCCTAATTTCACTTGCATAAACTTTTGAAGAGTGTTAGTTGTTCATTGGAAAACAGGATGACACTTAACAACCCATGAATGAAATAAAACAAATTCAAGGAGTCTCAGATTGGAAATTTGATGAATATTTTAAATGACTTGAGTTTTTACATTATACCAAAGGAAAACATGGTTTGATTTTGGCTAGCATGCTATAAGCACTCACCCAATGGCTAAAAGCTAGTTTATCATAATGTGTAAGCAAAATCAGTATAAAAGCTCTACTGATTAGATCTAAGACTCAGCGTCAAGTACCTATGTGTTCACAATACATCAAACTATAAAGTAGCTGTCCACATTTTAGAAGTATATTGTGTGAAGCAATCAGGGTGATTAGTTAATGGTTCCATTTATCATGTGACAGCCCCCCCCCAGTTTAAGTAAGCCATAGATGAGCTAACTATGGATAAGTATTTTTTTATTTTATTGTTATCCCACTTTAATTATGTTTTTATAAACAATTCAAGATGGTATACATAAAATAGAATAAACAGAGTTGGAAGGGACCTTGGAGATCTTCTGATCCAGCCCCCCTGCTTAGGCAGGAAACCCTGTACCATTTCAGACAAATATCTAATACCCCAACAAAATACAATACTTTTACAAATATTAGTCCCTTCCTAATCCAGAAATAAAAATAAATACAACGGAAAAACATACTGCAGGGCACACCAGAGAAGTAAAACAAATCTGATCTTCATGCCTGGGTTCCCCCCCCCCCTTATTTCAGTTTTTATAATACAGTTATAATTTCACAAAAGTAACATTTCTCTAAAGTTACAGCCCGATCACATTCAGTCCATAAAAGGTACATACCACCCAAAATGTTTAATGGATAAGATATATTTTATTCCGGCAGTGTTCTTTCCTTTATCATGACTGGGTCCGAGGATGATAGTGGCCAAGATAGACAGTGTTCCACCTTGTATAGGGTGTTTTCTATGATCATTTACTCATGTTGGTTTAATCGAGGCAAGTATTCATTCCCAATTCTTTTATGGATGGTTAGCAATGTTTATATTTTCAACTCCAGCATACATTAGCCCTAGAAGACTGTATTTAAGTCATAATATAATGAGGTTTAAATATTTATAGAGGACATGTCCTTGGTGAATTACCAAAGTGTGCTGAATTGGTGTTTCTCCCCCCCCCCTTAAGTTAAATTTATATGTCAAAACCTTAATGCTGCATATTTTCTTAGAAGTCCCATTCAATTCAATGGCAGCTGTTTACAAATAAGTGCCCTAGGATTGCAACCCTAAGATATGAACACATGTGTTCTGAGTTATCATGAAGCTCATTTAAATGTAGTGATCTTGGTTTGCTAAACTATGGTAGGTCAACACACTATTTTTTTCCCGGTAAATTGAAAAACTGTTATGCCAAAACATTATTTTTGTGGATTCAAACCTTACAAAGTCTTTCCTAGATTACATAATTTTACTGTTGTTATGGCAACCATTATTTCAGTAAAGTTACAACATTTAAATTTACTACACTTATACCATCAAATGTTCAGGGACTTCCAACAATTTTCAACAATCTCAAGCAATTAACATGGGTAATAATGAATCAAGCTTAAAAAAACAACATGCAAAAGTTATAGTGCTTACTTTTGTTCAATTACAGTTGTTCTTGGCGTATCATGAAAACATGACCACTCCCTTAATTTACATGAAGGTCTTCAAACAGTTTATCTGACCACTCAGTTCACAGAACAGAAATTTAGGAAAGATGTTAGGTTTAAGCATGTGGATAATTAAAAGGTTTTTTCCCCTTTATCTCTAGCAGGATTTCCATATCTTACAAATGCTGTATGTAAATCCATCACAAAGTCAGCAAATGAAGATTTTATTATAGCAATTGTATTTGCAAGATGTACTTAACAAATAACTACGCATACTTTAATTAGTATTTTGGGTAAATCTGATTCATGCAATTAACTCATGCGGTGTATTATAGTATGGAAAAGCAAAAAGATTCTGAATACTTATTTTTAACTTTGGATAAGCCAATTCATATGAACACAATCTTTTCTTCTGGGTCAGAAATGCACTCTTAAATGTGCACATTTCATGGAGCACTTAAAAATACAGAAATAGCACCATTAATAAAGTTGACTAAATTTGTAATGTATTAGACAGCCAATTCTTCAGAGGAATAAATACAGCTACCTATTATGTGGCTGCATTATAGAATATTTAGCTCCTCCATTGTTCAAAACACACATAGGCTTAGTTCACACAAGGCACTAAGCCATGGCTTGTTTAATCCATGGTTGATTTCATATACAATATAGTTTAGTTAGTGTGGGAACCCAGTTATGGATAGCTAATAGATACATAAAAAGCAAATGCAGGATATAGAATATTAAGACAAGTGATTAAAAGGAACATGTGCATCTTACCTTATTTTTCCAAGACTTTCTATCAACAAATTCTTTTGAACTGTGAACCTAAATGATAAAGAAAGCTTAACTGAGTAATAGTTTTTTCTTAACTTGCAAATCCAGGTGGCTCTAATAATTACTGCATTTACAGCATTTGCCTAGAACATAAATTGTTTCAGCTGAGGACACTGACTAGTTGTGTAAGCTGCTATAATTATCACTAAGAACACTAAGTTTTTTTTAAAATTTCTGTTCTTTCTCTCAAATATCTACTAAATAATAAATGTGATCTGGTCTCACAGCTGACTCTATTAGGGTCTTTAGCCAAAGGCATTTCAACATATTCATTACATTTGTATAGCTTCTTAGATCATTATTTATAAAATTAATTCAGTCGGGTGGACTTATACAACATAGTTGGCTAAAGTGTGGTTAGCCAGTTATAGTCTATTATAAATCTGAATTTATTTCAGGATCATTATTTGAGGAGTACACACTAATAATATTATGGTTTGGGTTTTTTTTGAAATAGCACAAATGCTAAAAACTAACTACCAAACAAGACATGGGAATATTCAGTTTGGTCTGCATGTCACACAGTTGCAGTATTAGTATCACAGAAGGTGTGATTGTTGCAGTGTGGGTCAGCAGAACTACATGTACTGCAATGGGCAAAGCAAGATTGACTATGAGCCAGCAATGTGCAGCCGCTGCCAAAAAAGCTAATACAATTCTGGGTTGTATAAACAGAGGCATAGAATCAAGATCATGCAAAGTATTAGTACCGCTTTATAAAACCCTAATGAGACCACACCTGGACTACTGCAACCAATTTTGGTCACCATACTACAAAAAAGATCAGAAAAGAACAACTAAGATGGCCAAAGGCCTGGAGATTAAAACATATGAAGAACGGCTGCAGGACTTGGGTTTGACTAGTCTAAATAAAAGAAGAAATAGGGGTGCCATGATAGCCGTATTCCAGAATTTGAGAGGCTGCCACGAAGAAGAGGGGTCAAATTATTCTCCAAAGCACCAGAGGGCAGGACAAGAAACAATGGTTGGAAACTGATCAAAGAGAGAAGCAACCTGGAATCAAGGAGAAAGTTCCTAACAGTGAGGACAATTAACCAGTGGAACAGCAGAAATCATGGGTGCTACATTACTGGCGGCTTTTAAGAAGAGACTAGACAGTCACTTGTCTGAGATGGTATAGGTTCTCCTGTTTGAGCAGGGGGCTAGATTAGAAAGCCTCCCAGATTCTATTCTGTTCTGTTCTGTTCTGCTATTCTATTCTATTCTGTTCTGTTCTGTTCTGTTCCGTTCCGTTCATAATAATAATAATAATAATGATGATGATGATGATGATGATAAAGTTGGAGGGACCTTGGAGGTCATCTAGTCCAACCCCCTGGTCAGGCAGGAAACCCTATACCATTTCAGACAAATGGCTGTCCAATTTCTTCTTAAAAACTTCCAGTGTTGGCACATTCACCGCTTCTGGAGGCAGGTTGTTCCACTGGTTAATTGTTCTAACTGTCAGGAAGTTTCTCCTTAGTTCTAGGTTGCTTCTCTCTTTGGTTAGTTTCCACCCGTTGCTTCTTGTCCTGCCTTCAGGCTCTTTGGAAAATAGCTTGACTCCCTCTTCTTTGTGGCAGCCCCTGAGATATTGGAACACTGCTATCACGTCCCCCCTCGTCCTTCTCTTTGTTAAACTAGACATACCCAATTCCAGCAACCGTTCCTTATATGTTTTAGCCTCCAGTCCCCTAATCATCTTTGTTGCTCTTCTCTGTACTCTTTCTAGAGCAGTGCTTCTCAACGTTTGTGTGACGGCGACCCCCGTCACCCAAACGTTCTGCGCATGCGCCAGGCCGCGCACATGGGGGCGGGGACCCACGCGCGGCGCGCATGCACGGCACCGCCCCCATGCACGACGCGCATGCGCGACGCCCCCACGCACGGCGCGCGTGCACGGCGCCGCCCCCATGCGCGGCGCTCCGCAAAAAAATGGCAGATCGCCGCCTTTGGCGACCCCCGAAAAATGGGCGATCGACCCCAAATGGGGTCGCGACCCATAGGTTGAGAACCGCTGTTCTAGAGTCTAACATCTTTTTTACATCGTGGTGACCAAATCTGGATTCTATTCTATTCTATTCTATTCTATTCTATTCTATTCTATTCTATTCTATTCTATTCTATTCTACTGCTTTTTATGGCACCATAGGGAAGATTCCCTGTATTCATGGCTAAAAGGAAGTGCTACTTCTTTAAAAGGCTAAAAAAAAAAAAGGCTGTTCCAACTGCTCAAGTAAAGATTGTGGTTAATTGATCATTGATACAGATCTTACTTAGTGCCATAATTTTTTCTGATGACTGAATCTGAATTTAAGAATTATATTTTTCTCCAAATATTTGAGTACATTCATTGGTCTTGGACATCTAATGCAAAACAATTATTTGGTTGCTCAGTTTGGTTTATTGGATTTATCTGTGTGATTTCCTTGGAAGTAATAATTCCTTTTAGGGATAAAAATGGTATGAAGTAGGTGTCAATATCCTCAAATGGTCCTTAAGTCTTTATTTTTAGTTCTATTAGATGGGCTCCCATTGGGTCCTACAAAATAGTAACAATATCTACATTCTATTCAGAGAGAGAGAAAGAGAAAAGTTTCTTTTAAAACCTTGGTTCTCCCATCAAAGTGTTCCATGTAGACTATTTTTCTTTTTTTATTAGTCTTTTTTTAAACATTGGGGCAGACTTTCAATTTAATAAGCAAGCAAATAAATAAATAAAACCTCGATTGGTTCAAAGGCTGAGGTGGGTTTTCCATGGCATGGCACTTTTAAAGTTGGAAGGAGCCAGGAGTCATTTTCAGGCTTGTCTCTGTAATCCTCTCCAAAATATGCCAAAAAATTGAAGCCCCCCCCCCCAAACCGCACTGACCTGAACTACAACTTTTTGCACCTTGCTCTAATAATTGTGCTTATGAGGCAGTTCTCATCAGTATCTCCCTGCTGTTAGTTCTTTTTTTTTTTTTTTTAAATAGCACTACAGGGCTATCACGGGAAAAAAAATGCAACAGAAGTGGCAGCTCTACATTTTGGAGGATTTGCAGAAAAGGACATTTTGCATGGTGAGGCAGGAGTAGCCTGATGCTAACGAAAATGGGGCTATTTCCCTTCTAATAGTTGAAATCCTACTCAAGGTACAAAGGCCTTGTAAATACTTGACTAGGTACATTAGTGATGGGCAATTTGTGATGTTTGTTGAACTCTTTAGGATGGGAGTTAGTGTTGAACAACATCTGAAGACCCCTTTTGGCCATCCCAGAGGTTGAAGGATGGAGACTTAGGCACATTTTTAATAGCGGCTATCTTAGTTTCCAAGTTCATCCTCTTTACCGCTGGGACAAATTGTGGCAAATGTTTTCTTTTCCTATTATAGGTAGTCCTTGACTTATAACCGTTTGTTTAGTGACTGTTCAAAGTTACAAAAGCTCTGAAAAGAAGTGACTAATTCCCTTTTTTCACACTTAAAACTGTTGCAGCATCGCCAGGGTCAAAATTGGGATGCTTGGCAACTTGGTTCATATTTATGATGGTGGCAGTGTTTTGGGAATATGTCCTCACCTTTTGTGACCGTCTGACAAGCAAAGTCAATGGGAAAGCCAGATTCACTTTACGGCTGTAACTGTACTAACTTAACAACTGCGGTAATTCACTTAATAACTGTGGCAAGAAAGGTCATAAAATGGGGTAAAACTCACTTAATGACTGTCTCACTTAAAAACAGAAATTTTGGGCTCAAGTTTGGTTGTATGTCAAGCACTACATGTGCAGACTTTCAAGAATGCCTCAGACAAATTATTTTGTTTATATAATTTACGTGTTGGGAACCATGGGCATATGAATTTTCTGATTATCCCTTTTCAACAGAAATCCCCTTATTTACATCCAACTTAGTTTTCTCCAAGTGAATTATCTGCACAATTGCAAAGAATCAAGAATTTGGCTGAGATGTGTATAATTAGTTGTAAACTGCCTTTTAATTTAGTCATTTTCTGCACCAAGGCTGCTGATTTAAAACCTTTTCATTGGTTCTCAGGCACACAAAGTTGTGCTTTATCATGCTTCAGGAGAAGCATTTTCTAATCCTAGATGGAGATACTTTTTTGGTGCAATTTAGTTGTTATAGTTGTATTGATAACCTATTAGGAAGGTCTTTCATTAGTATGTGTTCACTATTGCTGTATTTTTATAGTAGAAAGTTTCACTTCTTAAAAGCCTGCTCAATTAATTTTTTAAAATAAGATCATCTCAAATTTTCCTTAATCAGTGTTTTCCCTCTTCCTATGAAATATTGCTCATGTTATGAGATTAATATGTTTCATATATTTCTTAGATGCCCTTTGAAATTTTAGTCTTTTTCCTTCTGTTCTTATTTAGATTATTGCTTGCTTCGAACATGCTATTTCCTTTTTAGACGTTTGGTGTCACTTATCCCCAGTTATATGAAATTTGCGAACATTTAATTCTAATTATGTCTGCAATGCTACTTCCAACTTTCTACCAGTAGATGTCAGCCCATCACCAGAGTTGACTTATTTTGAAGATAATTAATATGAATGAATCAGTGGTGTTGTTACATTTGCAAAATGATTTTGAAGAACTGGTCTGGAGAGGAGCATTTCTTGATTTTCATTAATGTAGCTGAACTTTTTTCCAGGTTCTGGAATTGCTGAGAAAGTTGCCCCTGCTATAAAACAAATGCAATCTTAAAGTAGCAAGAGTTTTTCTCTAAATTTATTCAAAGGACACCTGAATAAAGTTGGGTTACATTAATAAACAACAGAGTGGTGATGAGCTAGTGTGCCATCATCCAAAGCATTTCTGAGTCATTTTCATAATATACACAACCCTATAAATCAGCTAGTTCACCATAAATAACAGAAATATCAAGGAAAAAAGTAATAACTATACTGTAATTTGAAAACTATAATTAACCACATAAACTACAATTCATAAATTATAAGAATTATATTCATAATTGAGAGGTGGTTTGG